GGCTCGTCGTCGTCGTGCAGCGAGGAATGCGCAGGCTGCTGGCTGTCGAGGCGTCTGAAGGGGTCGCTGGCGAAGGCGGGTGCGTGGAAGACGTCAATGTCGCGGTCGTGGTTGCGGGCGAAGCTGTGGTGGTTGTTGTTGTTGTAGCGATGATGGGGATCCGCAGTCGACTCGTGGCCGCCGATGGAGGCCGGAGAGCGGTTCCTCCTGAAGAATTGCATCGAGCAGGCTGCTCGCGCCTGGGGAATCCACTCAGAGCCGTCGCGCAGGAGAGAGAGAGAAGAAAAAGAAACTGGGCAGAGAGAAGATGCGACAGGCTCCTCACCCTGTCGCAGCCAGCGCGTCGAGCCCTCGTTTCAGCGACGCGGGGCAGGACGAAACGACTCGAGCACGAGGAGGTTGAGTGGGTGCAATGCAGTGGGCAGGACAGAACTGGACACGCTGCCAGTACAGGAGACTTGCAGCAACTTAAGCAAGGGTGCCAGAGCATGCCCTTTGCTAAATATATCCGATAGCCTGCGGAGGGCTGATCATTATTGGGGGCCCCCAAGGACGGGCGATCCGTGCAACAACAGAACAGTACGAGCATACATTACGCAGCGGAGGGATTAATTTGGTGTCTAGGGGACCTTGTTTGCCATGAGGACGGTTAATTGCTCCCTAATTGGTTCGCTTCAGAGCCTCCAGGAATGCGATTATTCCCCCTCTGGTTCCTTGCAAGCGTATCGCCGTTGTTGGTGACTGACTTGGTTGCGACCGTCGGACAGTAGTGGCTGTGCTAGTCGATCAGCTAGCTGCAAGCTCCCACCAACAAAGAACACCGTATTCGCTCTGTCTTGGCTCCAATTCCTTGAAACAAATAAATAGAAGACATTCAGATAAAATCATAAGGGCGGAAAAAAAAAAGAATAGGCCCATCCTATGCTCCGTCCCTCACGGTGAACTTGTATTGATCGCGTCGGTCCAGATAGACCACCTTGTCGCCCAGCCCCGCCTGCTCGACGGCCTTTTTAAAGTCCTCCAGCGGACTGGCAAAGACCTCATAGTCATCATAGTGGATGGGGATCGTGAGATCCGGCTTGATCAACTGCACCAGCTCCAACCCTTGCTTGGCATCCATGGTGACCATGACCGCCAGGGGCAGAAGCGACGGAGTCGGCACCGTCGTGCCGCCCAGATGCACCAGCATCAGATCAATGTTCTGCCCGGAAAACCGCTGGGGGATCTCCTTCAGCTCGTCGACCATGAGCGTATCGCCAGAGATGTAGATCCGGTAGCCGACCTCGAAATCCAGCAAGGGACGACCGACCACGCCGTACCCGAGTTCGAGCATCCATCCGTTGGTTGGGGGGATCTGTGGATGCGAGTCATCTGGTTAGAAATAGAGCAACAAACTTATCTTCTCTGAAAAGGGAGGGGGATCAATTGATACCGCTTGGACAAGCTCGTTCAGCTTCTGAAGAGGCTTGGTGGCCACATGCTTGGCCGGCATGGCTGTGACTCGCATTCGTGGTTGCTTCTGGGCACTTCCCTGCACCTCAACCAGCATCTTCTGAAAGGTATCAAGCTCGAACACGCGCGTGAACGATTCCTGCGGGCCCTTGGAAGTGAGGTGCCTCCGGGCATGCGGCGTGGTGATGATGGGGAGATCGCGCCGCAGGGACGCTTCTACTTTCTGGTCGAAGTGATCACTGAGCGATATATATCAGCCATGCTTGGAGGTAGGTGTCAATGGGTTAAAAGAAGACAAAGGAAAAGCGAAACTACGCATGATAGTGGGACAGCAACACGAGATCGATTCGGGGCAACTCGTGCAGGTCGACAGCAGGATTCGTGCGGCGAACACTCGAGACTCCCGGCCCAAGATGCACATGATCGCCCGCATGGAGGAAGTTGGGCTATATATATATCGGCCACGTAAATCGACGATTCTGCCAGGCAGATAGAAAAAAAAAATCTCCATATAAGAAAGCTAGAAACTGACATCGGTCATCAGGCGAATTCCTTCCCACTCTCTACAAGTCAGAGGGAAACAAATTAGCTCTTTGAAACCAGTAAGAAACGATAGCATTCGTCCATTGAAACTGGAATTGAGAGAAAAGAGAAGAGAATGAAAGTCTAACAGGATCGTCGTCGCTGTCCCGACAAAGTAAATCGACGCATTCTCGCCTCCAGGCTTGGACGGATGCACTTTGATCTCCTTCGCATCGGGGACATTCGTAGCCACGGATCTCCCTGCCGGTAGATCTCGAGTAGGTGCCTGCGCCGTTCTGGGGTCAATCGATAGATGCTGCATTTTTCAGTCAATTACGTAGCCGTCGCCTTGAGATATACTAGATTCAGCAGGTTATGTGGAGTGGGAGTTAAGTTGCAATTGAAGAATGGATGTGGAATGGGAGTTAGACAGGGTTAATTGTTTGACTTTGGGATAATTGATACGCTCGTACAGTGCAAGGACTTCCGTATACGTGACGTCACGAGCAGCAACAACGATATATCTACCATGCATCCATGTTTATGTTCATGACAGTCATCTCACATCTAATGATCTAAGGGCAACAAGATCAACGAGCCCTGTAGGTACAGTCCACATATACGTACAGCAAGCATAGCACATTGGGTCATTTATCATCTGTCATCGGTCATCTGTCATGGGATTCATAATCAAAGTGCCCTGCACGACGTCATCAAAAACCGTAATTTTTTTTGGCGGACACGCTGTAGGCCATCGACATGGCTGCATTCAGCAAACAGCATGAGTCTTGCCGTGTCGTCCCTGCAGCGAATGCTTGTCCTTCTTGTAGTGCGGGTGGTTGTGTTTCCCTCTGCCCGATTTGACCACGTGGTTACGAACGTGCCTGTTTCATTCCTATTGTTAGCATCAAACTGTCCTAGATATTATACAGCCAAGAGGTCTGAGGAGAGGGTACGTACGCCTGGTATCGTTCCATCATCGCCTTGTCCATGGCGTCGAGCGTCTGCAGAGCTAGTTTGATGTCGTTGACCAGGCTGTCAACACGATGCTTGCTCAAGTCTTCGCGGACAACAACCCGCATGAGCTTGAGCTTTTCACTGTGGGGAGCCATCGTGTAGGCCGGAACCACCCATCCCCGTTCACGAAGCTGGTGAGCAATCGCGAATTCGTCGTAGAAACGGTCTGGGTCAGGCTTCAGACGGAAGGCGACCAGCGGCAAGCCGTGACCACGGCCTTTGCTCATGATGATGAAGCCCAGGGCCTTGAGCTGAGCCGCCAGGTAATCCGCGTTTCTGGTCAGGTTCAGCATGATGGAGCGGTAGCCACGCTTGCCCAGACGGATCAGCTGGTAGTACTGGCCGATGACCTGAGATGCACCCTTGGAGAAGTTGAGGGTGAAACTCGCCTGCTCGGCACCGAGATAGTTGATGTTGAAAACCAGTTCCTGGGGGAGGTACTCGGGCGAACGCCAGATCACCCAGCCAACACCAGGGTAAACCTAATTGGCCATCAATATCCGCAAATCCTTCCCTTATCATCTACGTAGGATTCGAGCAGTCTTACCAGTCCGTACTTATGGCCGGAAACGTTGATCGAAACAACCTTCTCCAGTCTAAAGTCCCATTCAAGGTTGGGGTTGACGAAAGGAGCAACGAAGCCACCGCTGGCGGCATCGACGTGAATCGGGACGTCGAGGCCCTTCTCGATCAGCAGATCATTGATGGCCTTGACATCTTCATATTCTCCAGTATACGTGGTGCCCAGGATGGCACAGATGCCGATGGTGTTCTCGTCCACCAGGGAGACAGCCTCCTCGGGGTCGATGACATAGCGCTCGTCGGTGCAGTAGACATACTTCTCCTCCACGTCAAAGTAGCGGGCCGCCTTCTCCCAGCAAACCTGGACGGCACTGTTCATGACAATGTTGGGACGCGAGTAGTCCTTGCCTTCCGCCTTGCGCTTGTTCTGCCAGCGCTTCTTCATCGCGAGAGTTGCCAGCATAATGGCTTCCGAGGAGCCAATGGTCGACGTGCCCATGGCATGCTCCTTGCTGTCGTCGCCAGTTGGGGCGTTGAATAGTCTTGCAATCATGTTAACGCAGCGGTTCTGGATATCTGCGGACTGCGGGTACTCTTCATAGTCGATGAAGTTCTTGCTGAACGCCTCCGTCATGAGCTTCTCGGCTTCCTCTTCCTGCGATCATCTGTTATCAGTGCTGCCACGTGATTGCCCAATTTGGCATGACCAGGTTTCCACTGAACATAGAAATGGGCTTTGTGACTTACCATGTAGGTCGTAACGAAGCTTGCCAGGCTGGAGTTACACCAGTTAGCTTCGATTTGCAGAAAAAGCCATACAATCTCGCTGCAGGCCTGGCACGAAGTGACCAGTGGAACGGGGAGGAAGGTTACTTGAGCATTGGGTTGCCATCGAGGCTGAGATCATCCTTGATCATGCGATAGGCAATCTCACGAGGCATCTCCTTCTCAGGCATCTCGTGCGAGGGCAGCTCCTCCGCCGCGTAGCGAGACCCATAGACGCTCGAGGAGAAGTCATCTTCGCCTGGCGGGTTCAGGTCCAACGTCTCGACGCGGGGCAGCGTAGTTACAGTAGGGGAAGCGGGGACTTCGGCGTCCTTGCTGACGGCAGCCAAGTGCACCATGATGTCGTCGCGAAAGCTGCAAAGGATATACGAGGTATGGAGGAGAAAGGCCCGGCTGCGGAGTCAATTGAGGACGAGAGTGAGTGGTGAGAAGGCGTCTAAAACGGGGAAGCGAAAAACAGCACCCGCTGGGTGAGGGGCACTCTTTTATGGTCGCATTGGACTTTTCAGTCTCTGGACAGCTTGCAACGCCAAATAGGAAATAGGGGCTTTCTGAACAATAACTGCTGCAGCTCTGAGTTGGAGTGGGGGAAAGCCAACGCAGTGGAGATCTGGGTCAACGTCAGAGGACCAGGAACATCGGCCGCGAATACGCCAGCAGGGACGGCGGCTGCAATGGTCTGGAAAGGCGCTGCGACGCATGGGTGCATGTCAGGATGAGATGGCTCGCCGGCCTTGCAGTAGGCTCGCGGGCCATCGCCGGATGTTTCGTGTTTGGAACGTGGCGATCCAACCGCCGCCAGCTCCAGAGCTCAACGACTCAGCTCGACCAGCATCGCGGTGTTGCGTCCACCACTGTGGCTGCCTGCCTGTCCAAATCAGGTTGCCAACTGCGCCAGAGATTGTGTTTGAGAACATCTATCCTCCGTCTCTTACAGGTGAAGGGCTACGAGACCTCAGGGGCCTGTCCAGGAATGGCCTGTCGCGCGGGGTTGGCAGTCGGGCCAAAGCGACACAACAGTATAATAAAAATGCCTCGTTGAGCCAGCCAACCACCGACTGTCGACAAGGAGCCTAGCCAACAGCTCAAGCCGCCTGCAAGACTAGCAATCGCGTTCTCGCCAGCAACTGGCAGGCGAGTTGATCGTCCCTCCTCCGTCTGAAATTACAGTTTCATCGTTCTGCTGATGATTGATAAAGGCCCAGGGACGATAATTGCTCTCCCCGCTCCGGCTGAGCCACTCGAGCACTGCGCAGCCACACAGCCTGAGTCCAAGCGGTGTGCGATGGATGATACCTTGGGTCTCAATTTGCCGATGGGGATTGCCTAGGATCCGCAGAGCCACCGCCGCTGATTCAACCGTGGGAGATGCCCCTCTCGAATGCCCAGTGATAGGACCCTTTCTATTCCCCAATCGGTATTGGTGAGGCCCGTTGATCGTTGCCGTCTTGATGCCTTATCTCGTGCGCCCCTCAACGCCGTCAGCCATCGGTATATCTCTATGCAGGGGGATCAATGGGATCATACAGCAAGCAAAAGCTTAGGAAAAGCTTGGCTCTGGGTTTGGCGGGTCTCGCGCCTCAAGTCGCCGCTATCGGGGCCATTAGCGCCGAGACTGCCTGGGCCAGCGTTGTCTCTGCGGGGAGGATGACGGCATTGTGCTGGCGATGGTCCACCTGAGAACACTGGACTCGAAATCAATTACGCAGTAGATGAAGCTCCATCCACCGTCCGCTCGAAGGGACGAATGGCGGTGTGCAGAGCGACCGCATGGCAGCCCAATGGACTAAACAGTGCTACACTGAATGTCTCAGCTCGAGAATGATGGATTGCCGAAGGAGGCAGGTGTAGCAAACACTATGCGAGTCACTAGATCTGCTCTTGCAGCGCTTCCCCTGGGATCCCACTTGTTCTTCTTTCTCTCCTTCTCTATGACCAGAAACCGCGGGCCTTCCTTCCTCCATGGAGTTCATATTATTATTGACAAGCTATCCCAACACAAGAACGTCGATTCGCTAAATTCTGCCGTATGTACAATTTTACGAGCACAAAACCCGCAAACGAAGGAGTGTGGAGTTGGCGTTGCAGGATCGCCAACTGTCGACAGTGTACCACCTTGGAAGCATGACTGATTTCATTGCTATGCCCAAAAGAATGCATGCGAATCTTCAGTGTCTGTTCACCGCTATGGTACAGCGACAATCAACCACAAGCATATTCATCCAGGCAAAAGCATTTGAAATCCGCCCACAAAAATGATTAATATACAGGCTTAACGGATAGGGAAAAACTAATCTCTTCGCGTGCAGGACTAACATCTAGGGTTTCATTACTTCCACAGTTCAACAAAAACAAAAGCAAAAACTTTCGATCCAACAGACAAGGATAGATAGACTGCTCAGAGTTCAGGGGAAATCACGGGGGGAAAGAATAACCTTACTACGCACCACGGCAATCCTTCAGTTGCTGGTGGTTCCGTTCACTGATTTCTCTGACTTCTCCCCTCTGAACTTGCGCTTGAGCCAAGCGAAGAAACCGCCCTTCTTCTCAGACGACTTCCCAGAGCTCTTCGATTTGGTCTGAGCAATTGCAGCAGTGCTTTGAGATCGGTCAGGAGTCTCTTGTGGCTTCTGTTCCGGCTCACTGGTATTTGCTGGCGCACTGTCTGCCTTGCCGTTGACATCGTCATTCTTGGCAGGGGCAGCCTCTTCGGGCTTGTCTGGTTTAGATTCTTCAGGCTGTGCAGCCTGTGTGGAATCCTGGGCCGCCTGGCTCGAGGACTGGCCGTTAGTCGCGGAGGTCTGGTTCGCATCCGAATCCTTTGCGGCCGATGCACCAGCGTCCACGACTTTGCTGCTGGTGTCAACGCCAGTAGCCACAAGCGGAGAGTCAGAGGTAGCGGCTTTGGTCGATGAAATATCGCCGTTGTTGCTCTTATTGAGCACTTGGGTGCCCAGTCCGGCGGTAGCAACACCATTGCCTGCGCCTGCTATTTGCTCCGTTGTCAATTTGTCTGGGGCTGCGTCTGGGGCTGCGTCAGAGGCTGCTGGAGCCGGCTGGTTATCTGACGTCGAAGCAGTGGTAGCAGGTCCCTTGTTGTCGTCGTCTTTCTGAGCGCTCGTGGTATCCGCGGTTTTCTCGCTTGTGACGTTGTCATTCGCAACAGATTGGCTGGCCTTGACGTTGTCGGTGACATTCTCAGAGACGTTGTCGGTTTTGCTGGTGAGAGCGTCGGTCGCGGCGGATTCCTTGGCCTTTGCGCTGTCGGCAACATCACCGACAACATCGTCTGTCTCACTCGTGACGGTTTCGTTGGCGGCAGATGAGTTGGCCTTGACAGTGTCGGCGACATCAGTGCTGTTTGTGTTGCTTGCGAGAGTGTCATTCGCGACAGACGATTTGGCCTTTGCGCTGTCGGTAGCATCACTTGTAGGGCCACCAGCAGCGCTGCCGGTTACGGAGGCAGCAGAGTCAGCAACTGAAGGTGTTCCTGGGAACCTGCCGGGGACATCTAATTCTGATGTGCTGGCATCTTTTCCGGTCGCGAAACTGTCGCCTATCATCTTTGCGGCGACTTCATGGTCATCGACGCGGGGCTTCTTTGGAGGCTGCTCGCTTTCCTGCGTGACGAACACTGGAGTCTGGTGGGGACGCTTGACGTGTGGAGCAGCCAGAGAAGCATCTTTCTCACCGCTGGGGCTCTTTTCGGCGTTGCTCTCTGGGACGGTAGAGGGCGTTGCGTCCGTTTTCTGCGTGTCCTGAGCAGTGGGAACTTCGGCGGCGGCATCAGCCTTCGATGCGGTATCATCCTTCACGACAGTTTCTGACGGTGTTGAAACAGGCTTTGACTCTTCGCTCGTGGCCTTGGTGTCCTCAGTGGCCTCAGTCTTGTCTTCCGTCTCTTTCTCTGATGAGCTCTTTTCGGCTGGTGCAGACATCGCATCTGTAGGGGAGGTTGTGGCAACCGACTCAGCCGGCTCAGAGGCAGCTGTCGCGGGGGTATCTGCAGTGAGTCAGCCGTCGGTAAAGGGCGGCGAGATAAAGAGGGGGAAACTGTCTGCGCTCACCTTCTTTCTCACGCGCAGGCTCGACTACTTCCTCTTTCTTGTCCTCACTGACGCTAGGCTCGGAACTCTGAGCGTCATTCTTCGAGTCACCTTCGCCTGCGTCTCCTGCGACCGGGGTTTCGGTCGAGGCAGCAAGCGCAGCAGGCGCCGTTGCAGACGAATCCGCAGTTTTCTCAGCGCTTTCACCTTCGAGGCGCTCTTCTTCCTTCTGCGCTGTGCTTCTATGGCAACCGTTAGACTGTTGCGCGGGGATGTGCGACACGTGTTGACTTACTCGACGTTCTTCACATCAGGGACGGCGGCTTTCGCGGCAGCTCCGCCGCCGCCGCTGCCCTTGTTCTTATTATTCTTCTTCTTTCCTCCCCTCTTGGGCATTGTGTTGTCGGTGTTCAGTCGTCAATCGGATTGGATCGGATCGGATCAGACGCGATGGGGTTGTCGGGGAACAGGATAGCTAGCTGGTGGATGAAAGAAACAAAAGCGAAAGCTTAGTACAGGACACGACCTAAATCGCAGGGCCAGGCAGATGTCAATTAGGTAATAATGTACGGTACACGCCTTGCGCAGGTTCTCCAATGACAGGGATTCCCAGATTTTGGGCTTGGCTCCTTGACGTTTGCAGCGCAGGGCAGTTGTGCGCCACGGGTGCGTCGAGTTTTTTTTTTACCTTTTCTACCTAGGTTACGATCCACTCCGGCCCCTCCTCCAACAACGGCTCTCCTCCAGCAAGTCCACAGTTCCCCCAACTTAACGTTTCCCAGGGCTCGGGGCTATTTGATAAGAGGACAGTCTGGCTTCTTCTGCCCCTCTCCGTCCCCACCTGATCGTCGTGTACGGAGTACTCTTCATAGGTACGCAGGTTATGCCCCAGGCTCATCCCCTTTCTTTCCTCCTAGCTGTGGCTAATAATAATCGCCCTGTCTACAGAATAGGTAAATGAGGAGCGACATGGTGTGGGTGTGGGTGTCTGTGGCATGCCTCTGTGTGGCGGTGGCTGCAAACGTGAGTAAGGAATGACCGGGTATTTCTGGTTCCGGTTGCAGGGAACAAAAAAAAAGGAAAAAGGACTTTGTTCGGTTAAGTAAGTTATTCCGTACGGAGTACCACTACTACCTGATCTGCATGGCTAGATTGGCATGCGCGAAACAGAAAGTTGTCTTGAGACCAGCCCCTACAATGAGTACTGCGTAGTAGTTTAAGTTTAGCCTCCAGGCCTGTGTGTACGGAGTATGCAATGTTCTCCAGACTAATTATGCAGGTAACAACGGTACCTGCATGCAAGGCAGCTTGGGCTTGGCACTGCATCCCTCTGCTCCGGTGTCCCTAGACAGTAGACTCCTCCCTACGGAGTATTAATATTCCCTAGGTAGGGATTATAATCACCTACCAGTCGACTACCCTTCTCGTTTTAGGTAGTAGGTGAGCATCGCCACTCTTCGCTCACCCGAGTAGTGTTATCGCTTTGCAACAGTCTCGCGACTAGAGTAATTACTCCATAATTTGCAGTAGAGAGGTTTAGCAACCTGTTATTTTTAACTCACCTAACGAACTGAACACCGATTTTAACAGTTGGAATTACAATTATTACAACACAACTCGACCAATCAGATTTTGCATATCGTATTAGGAAGGCGGTCTGCAATCATATTTGGTCATGTGACAGATATTATTCTTTCTGCCTGGAGTTTGGAAGGCGGTGAGTGTTTTGACCAATTGGGCTTTGAGATGAGTCCAACTTGCATCTTAGCAGCCAGGTAGTTAAGTACTTCCATAAGGTATCCCCATGAACATCTCTGTCTAATGGCACTGGCTATGGGGTCTCTGAGTGACCTGACGGTTCTGTCCCTGTCGAAGATGGCTGCATCTCCACAGATGCTATAGCAGCATCTGCAAAAATGGGATGCATAGGATGCAATGTTTTGAATGTGACCGCTAGCTCAATGCTAATGAGACTAATAATGCTAGGCAGCTGCATACAGCTGCATATAACTCGAAACGTCCCCTGAAGAATAATAAATCAGCAATTTTATACTGTTATCAACCGTCAACAACATGAGCGAGTCTTCCTTGAAGTCCCCCACCGTCGACGACGTCGCCCGTCTGATCAACGCCGGCAAAGCCACCCAGATCGTCGTCCTCGTCGGCGCTGGCACCTCCGCCTCGGCCGGCATCCCGGATTTCCGGAGCCCAGACACGGGCCTATATGCTCAGCTGGAGAAGTTCCATCTGCCCTACCCCGAGGCCCCCCTGCACATCTCGTATTTCCGCCACACCCCGGAGCCGTTCTATGCCGTGACGCGCGCGCTGTATCCGGGCAAGTACAGGCCCACGGTCGCGCACGCGTTCATCGCGCTGCTCGCGCGGAAACGCCTGCTCCATATGCTCGTCACGCAGAATGTCGACGACCTCGAGCGCAGGGCGGGCGTGCCGGAGGACAAAATCCTCGCTGCCCACGGCAGCTTGGACAGTCAGCGCTGCATCGATTGCAAATCGCGCTTTCCGGACGATTTGATGCAGAAGATCGTCCAGAGCGGCGGTGTGCCCCGCTGTCAGGATCCTCAGTGCAACGGCATCGTGAAGCCCGATGTTGTGCTCTTCGGCGAGCCTCTCCCGGCCAGTTTCGAGGCCCGTGCTCCCCAGGCGATGGCTCAAGCCGACCTGGTGATTATCATGGGCACCAGCCTGGTGGTTCACCCCGTTGCCGGCTTGCCCGGTCTCGTCCGGGAGGGCGTCCCGCGCGTGCTCGTGAATCGGGAGAAGGTGGGCAGCATTGGCGGGAGGCCAGACGATGTGTGTATTCTCGGGGATTGCGACGATGGCGTTCGTCAGTTGGCAGATGCCTTGGGATGGAGAGAAGAGCTGGAAGCGTTGTGGAGAGAGGTCGGAGGCGGTAGGAAGGATGGAGAAGATGACGCTGCTGCGTCTTCTTCTTCAAAGGTGGAAATAAATCTGGAAATGGAGATTGCGAACCTCTCCGGAAAGGTGGATCGCAGTCTCAAGATTTCCAACGGCCACAGAAACTGGCTCGAGAGGCATCTGGAAAAGAAGATCGCAGCATCTGCTGCGAATGCGGACAGTTCCACTGAGCAGCGCAAGGAAGAGTCGAAAAAGTCGGACGAGGACCGACAGGGAGAAGAAGCGTGAAGTCAGTCAGCACCTTGTGTCAAGAATCTTAGATTACACCACATTCATTTCTAGATATACAAGCTGTCCTTATCGTATCTCGTAAACGGCATGTATGTACTGTACAGGATAATCCTACGGAGAACCCTGGGAAATATCAAATCGATATATTATATATACATTCCCCTCAGGGTTGAGAATGTTGGGAATATTTCAACGTATATGTGTAATAGATCCGATCGGGTATATGGGCTGGATAGATGTGAAATAAAACAACACATTGAATGAAACGCTCCTAGTCAATTTTTTCCCGACTCGTGGTCGTCGTTGACGGCGGCATGCTCGGATCGCTCTTCGAATCGGCCGTACTCACGGCGTGGAAGGAGAAATCCAGTTCTCCGACAAGCGACCGGACGTTGCTGGACAGGCAACCCTTAGTAAAGTAACTACTAACTACCCTTATACAAACCAGGGTTCAGACTTACGCAATCAACTTCTCCAGATCGCCTATGATGCAGCGCGTCGACACCTGCAGCACGGAAAACGCCGCATAGCCCGGTTCAGCGCTGTGGCTGATGCTGAGGATGTCCTTGTCGAGCTCCTTCAGCTTTTCAGAGAACGCGTACGGCCGTGGTGTCTTCAGATACGGCGGCAGCGGCTGCTGGTTCATGATGCTGGCTGACAGCAGCGACAGAAGGGAGGTGATCTCGTGCGTCGTAAGATTGGCCGTGACCATCAGGCTTTTGAAGTCTTGATACCAGGCTGACTCGGATTCGTGTGCGCGGTCGCTCATCTGCGCAAACGTTTTGGACGCGTATTCCACCAGCGTGACATAATTGACAATGCTGGAGGAGAAAATAATAAGCATGATGAAACGAGAATGAGATGGACTGACTTACTTTCGCACACATGCGATGATGGTGTCGTACTGCCGCTTGGGGAAGCGCCCCCCAATCGGGACTTCCCACTTTAGGAAATCAGAATATGTCCGGAGACTGCTCAACATCAGGATCTGCTTGGCGTACACGCGATGGCGCGCCTTTTCCAGTCGCCGTCCGGCCGACGTCTTCAACGTCATGTCTCCCTCATCCCCGCGAGCACGTGCAGTGACGGTCTCATGGATGATTGAATAGTAGTTGGCCAACAGATACAGTGACGCTCCAAGGCTCTTCCGGAGCACGGAGTGTTCCGAGATCGGAAATGGGAACACTGTCCAGATGAAGGCCACCGCAAGTCCACCGGCCACAATCGCTAGTCGGTAGGGCGCCAGCAGGTATATTGGATAGTAGTCCTGTCCGTTCGACGTCGCGACCTTCTCGCCCACCTTGCGAACCTCCAGCTCGTACCCGACGATCATTGTCACGGTGACGATATTAATCATGCCCATCATCGTATAGCGTGGTTTTTTGATTGGAATGTAATAAGCAATAGCCACATACAGAAACAGAAAGACGATCACCCCGGGCGTTTTCCCATCGGGGATATACCAGATTAGGAATGTGCCTACTATGGCGATAACGGTCCCGAGTACTCGAAGCACAAAACTGGCTATGCTTTGCCCGGCCGTAGGTGACATGCTGATAGCCACCATTATCATTGCCCAGAGAAGTCGCTGTCGGACGAAGAACGGCTGCGTGTCGTGAAGCAAATCAATGATGGCAACGGACATGGTGGCGCACGCAACTCGAAAGCCAAAGGCGGACTCGGATGAGCGCAGAAGACGCGGAATAAGACGGATCCAGTCGCCTATCTTCTGCATTGTGTTCTCAGGAGGCAGATGCTCAGGATCTTTCCTGGTTTTGTAGGCCTCACCAAGGTACAGAACGACGCTCTGGCTGTGGATATCTCCAATGTCATCGTCGTCATGACCGTCCTGGACTTTGAAGGCGCTCAGAACCCATTTCTTCAAGCGTTTATTGCCCGGAATGATGAGTCTCGTTCTCGACACCTTTCCGCTCGCCGCCTTGGCGTCGGCAAACCGAACAAAATCCAGAATGGCGCGACTTGCAGAGTAGAGCAAATGCTCCATCTGAAGATAGGCTGAGTATTAGCACCGGAGCCTCAATTCCTTCGGGGGGAATGGACGTACGTAGAGTAAAAGATACAGCTGTCGCTCGTTTCGTTCCCGGGTGAGACCCAAGTTGATATCCTCGGGAATCGAGATTGAAACATTTTCTGGGTGCTCAAAGAAGTCGGGGGGTACCTTAATCCCTTTCTCTTGGCACCAGACCCGTAACGCAACGAGTTTTCCTCTGTAGAACTCATCGCTCTTCATTTCTAGATACTCTGCAAAGCCATCATCTCCCGGTGCGGTGGCAGCAGCCGTAGCCTCCACATCCTTGGCATCCTCAGCTGTGGTCGGCTGAGGAGAAGCCTTCTTCTTTGGTGGTTTGGCCAGTCTTAGTCGGTATGTGACGTGTTGTAATCCTTCATCCATGACTTGAATTATATGCGCGAACGGTTCGTGGACCGCCCTCATGATGTCATTCCACTCATGGACGATTCGCTGTCGCGTGGCGTCCGAATGGATATCCAGATCGTGTCCATCTTCGAGCGGCTTGTTCCACTTATTATACTCTGACAACCGTTCGAAGATATCAACAACAGAACCGAGCCCGACAATAGGGACCATTGTTCGTCGTAACTGTCCAAACAACTCACTCAGATCCTCAGGGCCCAGGTTCCCTAGAGCGATTTCACGCTTGGCAAAGGGAAGTTCTCCATGAAGCCTCCCATGAAGGTCACCGATTTTGCTCACTGCGGTCTTGATAGCTTCCGCTTCGGGGCTGTAGATCTTCTTTCCATGCTTCCCTCTCTTCTCTGTCTTCATATCGTAGGTTTCGACCCGCCCAAACATATCCTTCCGCTCCATGGATTCAAAATATGCCCCGTGGGCCTTCAGCGCACCGCGCAGGGCCCCGATGTATGCCGTCATCTGCCTAAAAACTACCTGCCTGGACGTGACAGGAAAGATCAAGAAGGATACGCCTGTCGAGATCGCCAAACCAGTGAAGAATGCCCCCATGAGGTGTCTCAAAAATGTGATGCCTACCGACATGGTCCCGAATTGAGGAGCATATGTCGTCGAAACATTGGCCACCATGGAATACATAATGACTGGGAGGTTGAATTGAGGATATTTCGCTCTCACGGTGTTAATCATGTAGATCTGGAAAAATGCCAGACGCCGGCAACGGCAGCAGCGGAAGAATTATAAGGGGCCGTCGTAGATGGTATCGCGGATGCGGTATGCTTCCTCGCCTGGGTCGCGCAAAAGATCATCAAAAGCGCAAAAGCTGAAGCGATACAAATGGTCAAGATATCAAAAATCAAGGTTTGGATAAATTTCGATCGTGGCATGATGGCAAAGCCAAAGATGGAAATGATACCCACAAAATAGCCCAGGGTAGTGAAGGTATTGGCCACTGGCGTCGATTGGTAGCTTGTAAAGAGTCAGCAATTACCTACATTTGTATACTTCGGAAAGAAACTCGTACATTGCTACCGAGATTGTGGGCGGAATGGCACCCCTATCAGCAGTTGTTAGTCCAGACAGAGGAGAAAGGATCGGGAATCTGACTTGATCATCATCAATACGGTTTGTTTATCCAACTCTGTCTTGGCCCATAGCGCTTTCAGAGTTGCTGTGAAGCCTTGCTTCTCCTTCGTTTTCTTTTCCGGCCCATTGCTTCTCTGGCTGGTGTGGATACGAGATGATTCTGAGGACTCTGGAGCACAGCTGTCAGAGCTGGTGCTCCTGGAAGACATTTTGGTTCCAGTGTCTTGAAATCTTGTCTTTGCCTATTTCACCTGTTCACTATTAGGCGAGGGGCGACAAATAATCATCTATGACGTTCCCGACGCCGCCGTAGACAGATCGACCGACGGGCGGCCATAGCCGTTCAACAAAATCACAATTGGACAAGACGATGTGTTTTCTGGCCGTCCAGACGACGAATCGAGGCGACGATAACAACTGTTGAATGCCCAGTGTGGGATGCGCGTTGCGATGACTATGAATTCCGACGGGATGGATCTGCTCGACCGCGAACGGTTAGCGCCAACTCTAAGATCGGCGCCTCAGGCCGCCCCGATGCGGGGGAAGATCCCGTGACTCCGCCGGTAAGCGAGAGAGAGACACCAGCCTCATTGGCTCAGCCACATGAACCTATCACATGACCGTAATCATATGACCGCACAAATGCTTCCCCGTGAGCTCCGCCGCAGCCCTGATTTATCACCCAAACAGGTTAGCTGAGCCCGCTGAATCAGCCGCAGCCCCGCGGCTTTTGCCCCTCGTTCTTGACCGACACCGGTGACTCACATCCAGGACATAAAAAAGCCCAATTCCCCCATTGCAAGACATCTCTCGTGGCAGGAGAGCGTCGCCGTTGCAACCATGAGTTTGAACTTTCCTCAGACCGAGGAGGAGACTCTCCGCTACTGGAGGGAGATCGAGGCTTTCCAGACACAGCTGCGGCTGACCGAGAGCTGTCCAAAATTTACCTTCTACGATGGACCTCCTTTTGGTATGCTTCCGGCCCCTGTCGTGCTGAAATAGTGCTAACTCTTCTGCTTCACAGCGACTGGTATGTAACGGACTCGAGAAGAGTGTTTCCTGCATTCTCACCATTTTCCAGGACTGCCGCATTATGGCCATTTACTGGCCTCGACTGTTAAAGACATTATCCCTCGCTACTGGTCGATGAAAGGCCGACATGTCATTCGGCGGTTTGGATGGGACACCCACGGTCTCCCGATCGAATATGAGATCGACAAGAAGCATGGTATCTCGGGACGGGATGCTGTGATGCAGATGGGCATTGAAAAATACAATGAAGAATGCCGAGCGATTGTCATGAAATACGCCTCCGAGTGGCGCCAAACAATAGAGCGATTAGGTCGATGGATCGACTTTGACAATGACTACAAGGTCAGTTCCGGCCAGCTCAGACTCTAATTTGGAGCTGTCGCTAATTCATCCCAGACAATGGACCCCAGTTTCATGGAGTCTGTCTGGTGGGTGTTCAAGCAGCTGTATGACCGGGGTCAAGTGTATCGCTCCTACCAGATCATGCCATATTCAACAGCACTCTGCACCCCGCTGAGCAATTTTGAAGCGGCGCAGAACTACAAGGATGCTCAGGACCCTGCCATTGTGGTTTCCTTCCCCATCGTCGACCCTCCGGATGCTGATGCAAGCCTTCTCATCTGGACAACAACTCCTTGGACTCTTCCCTCAAACATTGCGATTTCTGCGCATCCTGATTTCGAGTACATCAAAATCAGGGACGAGAATTCTAACCAGAACTTTATCCTCCTGGAATCTGGGTTGTCGGTGCTGTACAAGGACCCGAAGAAAGCGAAGTTCAAAATCCTTGACCGGTTCCGTGGTAAAGACATGGAGGGCTGGAAGTATCAACCGATTTTCGACTACTTCGCCGATAAGTTCCAGGATTGTTTCCGTGTCATCAATGCCACATATGTTACCGCAGATGACGGTGTGGGCCTCGTGCACAATGCTCCTGCATTTGGTCAAGAGGACTTTGATGCTACAACTGAAGCTGGCATGATCAGCCAGACACGGCTACCGCCCAACCCTGTAGATGAGAAGGGCTGCTTTACTTCCGAAGTCCCTGATTTTGCGGGCTTGCATGTTAAAGATGCCGAGAAGCCCATTTTGAAACATCTGAAGGCATCCGGACGTCTCATTGTGGACAGTCAGATTACCCACTCGGTAGGATTCTGCTGGCGATCTGATACCCCACTGATCCGAAAGGCCGTGTCGGCTTGGTTCGTTAAGGTTTCCGAGTCCATCCCTCAGATGCTGTCGAACATTGAAGATACAAACTGGGTTCCTTCCTTTGTGAAGGAGAAACGGTTTGCCAACTGGATTTCAAACGCTAAGGACTGGAATGTGTCCCGGAACCGGTACTGGGGTACACCGATTCCTCTTTGGGTCAGTGATGATTACGAAGAGGTTGTGTGTGTTGGCAGCATCGCCGAGCTCAAGGAGTTGAGTGGCTACGAGGGCGATTTGACTGATATTCACCGAGACAAAGTTGACAAGATAACAATTCCTTCGAAGAAGGGCAAAGGAGTTCTCAGGAGAGTTGAAGAAGTGTTTGACTGCTGGTAAGTAGTCGCTTTTTATTTTTATTTAACTTGTCGACTAACTTGTCGCTAACTGAAATATAGGTTTGAATCCGGTAGTATGCCTTACGCATCACAGCATTTCCCGTTCAAGAACCCTGATTCCTTCCATGGATCATTATTCCCTGCCGATTTCATTTCGGAAGGGCTTGACCAGACACGTGGATGGTTCTACACACTCTTAGTTCTGGGAACCAAGCTGTTTGGTGTGTCGCCGTTCAAGAACTGCATAGTGAGCGGCATCATTCTCGCAGAGAACGGCAAGAAGATGTCAAAACGACTGAAGAACTATCCTGATCCATCAAAGATCATGGATCTTTATGGATCGGATGCATTGCGCTTGTACCTGATCAACTCTCCAGTGGTCCGTGCGGAGCCATTACGCTTCAAGGAGGCTGAAGTGAAGGAAGTGGTGACCAAAGTCCTTCTGCCTCTTTGGAATAGCTACAAGTTCTTTAGCGAGCAAGTTGCTCTGCTGAAGAAAACCGAAAACATTAGCTTTACCTTTGACCCGACACTTCGCATTGCTGAAGACGGGAATGTTATGGACCGATGGATCTTAGCGGATTGTCAGAGTCTCCTTGCATTCGTGGAGCAGGAGATGGCCGGTAAGTTATAGATATCCGCCGTGGTTATGTTATGTCGCAGCTAATGATGATCGTAAAGCATATCGCTTGTATACTGTGGTTCCACGTCTGTTACGCTTGATCGACAACCTGACGAACTGGTACATCCGCTTTAACCGAAAACGGCTCAAGGGTATTGCAGGCCTGGGCCCCAAGCCTATCCCCTGTGTGCCTTGAACACTCTCTTCGAAGTTCTCTTTACCCTTGTTCGCGCCCTTGCTCCTTTCATACCATTCCTCACCGATCACATCTATCGGCAGCTGGTCCCGTACCTCCCAGAAACATTCCTCAGTCAGTTCAAGGATACACGAAGTGTGCATTTCCTCTCATTCCCTGAAGTTAAGAGAGAGCTCTTTGACGAGAATGTTGAGAGGAGGGTTGCAAGAATGCAGAAAGTGATTGACTTAGGGCGCGCTGCCAGAGATAAGTGCGGTATTGGACTCAAGACGCCACTACGTACCCTTGTGGTGATTGCCGATGCTTCCTACCTTGAAGATGTCCAGTCGCTGGAGAGCTACGTCCGTGAAGAGCTGAATGTGCGGAATATTATCTTCACCTCTGACGAGGACAAGTACAATGTCCGTCTCCAAGCAGCGGTGGATTGGCCGACGCTTGGAAAGAAGCTCAAGAAGGATGTGCAGAAAGTCCGGAAGGCACTGCCCAGCCTTACAAATGACCAACTCCGACGGTTCTTGCAGGAGAAGACCATCACTATTGATGGAATCGAGCTCGGTGAGAGCGATCTCACCGTCAACCGAGCCTTGGGGGACGTCAAAGGCACCGCGGGCGAGAAGTGGGAAGCTAGTTCCGACAATGAGACCATTGTCTTGCTAGATTCGACTCTTTACCCTGAATTGATGGATCAGGGTCTTGCTCGTGAATTGATCAACCGCGTCCAGCGACTACGGAAGAAGGCCGGGCTGGTGCCTACGGACGATGTCAGAATGGAATACCGCATTCTGAACAACGAGGCGAACGTGGACATCAAGGGCGCGATACAGCAGAATGACGAATTGATCCGGAACGCCATTCGCGGTGATCTCACAGAGTCCGAGGCCGCGACCGCTGATGAGCAGAAACTCATCATGGAGGAGACGCAAGAAGTCAACAATGTGACGTTGCTTCTTCGACTTCTCAGATTCTAAGCTCGGCATCTATAGAAGGGAACTCTCATTAACAAGGGAGCTAGGCAAAGCCGTCGAATTGTTGACAAGAAGTCACTATAGTGAAAGAGGAGGCAGACCAGGGGCAGGACAGCTTAAGAAAGAGTAAACGAAGATGATGTAAAGATTTAGAGGCTATACTCCGTAGTAAAATGGTATTCAATGGTGGCGTTTTCGAGTCTTCCTGCAGTAAGACATGTTGATTTCGAGACAGGTGCAGCATAACACATCCTAGTAATCATTATGGCGTTACACCTGAACCAGTAATAAATGCCTTTATCCGCCAAGGCACTAACTAATGCAATACCATGTCACCCGCAGCAGAACGATCAGGGATCATGATGGCTGCAGCCTCTAATCCCGTCAATCTGCTTGCATTCTCCAGTGAAAGGGCTTGTGTGGATGCCAGCTTCCACACCTTTATACCTAGCCATAGTTATAGCCCTAGTAGGTAGGTATGCCATGTGCATATGACTACTGCATACATCACCTAGTTTACTAGTAGTAGTGAAGAAAGCGAGTTGTCCAGTGGAACACCTCCAGCTGTCAAACTCTCTCTTCCCCTCCTCCCCCTCCTTTTTGAAGCCTGTCGCTTATGGAAAAAGGCAAAAAGAAAGAGTGTGTGTAAGGCGAAGATTAAAGATTGCTAAATCAGTGCTCTGTCAAGTACTATGTCGTAGAAGGATCTGATCGATAACAATTAACTAACTCTGGAGATCAGAGTGCGTTGATTGTCCTACCTATCTACCAGCTTACTAGTTCCTATGGCAATTAGCAGAGGCTTGGGCAAGGTGCACACCTCGTCCCTCCACTCATCGTACCGCCGTCTAAAAGGAAAAATAGTTATAGTATAATCTGGCGGGATAAGAACCCCATTTCGCCCACCCCATCTCTGATTATTTCCCAATTGTCAATTTTTTTTGTACTCTGCACTTCACAGTACATGTAATTGCTCATAACAATGGCCCAGGCGGTTGCCCAGCAGAACGCAGCCATCAAGGAGCAACTGGCCCGCGTAAGCTCCCTGGTCGCGCAGTACACAACGGCCTCTGCAGCGAACGCTGGCAAGAAGACCTTGACAGTCGAGGAGCAAGGCGAGCAGAGCCGAAACCACACCGCTGTTGTGCAGGAAACCCATAAGCTGCTGCACGCCATCAAGGGCCCCGTGGACACGGTGTACTGCCACTTTGAGAATGTGAGCTGTCAATCTATCTACAGGTGATATGATAAGAGAGATCAATGATGCTGATGGATGCTTGCCTTCTTAGGCAGCTCACACTGGCGCTGTGCGAGCCCTCTTCGAGATGGGCGTCTTCCATGCCCTGCCGCAGGACGGCACGAGCAAGACGGCGGAGACGCTGGCCACGGAGTTGAACGCAGAAAAGGAATTGATCAGTGAGTCCAGTTTGTGTCAATCTGATCGTCCGCAGGGCTAATCATGTACTGTACATACAAAAGTCCGCCTCATGCGAATGGCCACCATCTGGGGCCCATTCAAAGAAGTAGGCGAGGAAGAATACGCCCAGACGCCAGACTCGCTCATCTACCTCGATCCCAAAGTTCAGAGCCTCTTCAAGCTCATGGCAGACGAGTACCTCCCCGCACAGCTGCAGTTCAGCGAATTCTTCAAGCTCAACGGCTGGGTCAGTCCGACCCAGGACACAAACAACCCTTACACCTTCGCCAACCGCACGGGAGGCAAGACCATGTGGCAGTTCATCGCCCAGTTCCCGGACCGTCTGCAGACGTTCAACGATGCCATGCGGGCCCAGTCCAGCGCCGGTTCGTGGGCTATCGCCCTCTACCCTTTCCATGAGGTTCTGAGCCGGATTGACTCCACGGACGATACCCCCCTGGTGGTCGACATCGGGGGTGGGAAGGGCCACGCTCTTTGTCGAATCAAGGAACTGTGCGGCGACGCCGTCAAGGGCCGCTTCATCCTCCAGGACAGGCAGGAAGTGGTGGACGTGATTAGCGGAGAGGAGCTTGCAGGCATTGAGAGGGAAGCTTACAACTTCTTTACGCCTCAGCCGGTCAAGGGTGCGTAGTGTCTGTACTTACCTGCATATTCATATGTACTCTCTGATGCTCCCCAGGCGCCGCGATCTACTACCTCCGCCGCGTCCTCCACGACTGGCCCGACGCCGTCTGCGTGCAAATCCTCAAAAACGTCGCCGCGGCCATCACCGACAAGACCACGCAGCGCGTCGTCATCGCGGAAGATGTCCTCCCCGAGCAAGGCGCCGACGCCGAGGCCGTGTGGCTGGATCTGGCGGTGATGGCCCTGGCGGGCACCGAGCGGACCGAGAAGCAGTGGCGCAAACTCCTCGATGACGCTGGGTTTCGGCTGGAGAGGACGTTTGTGGGGCCGGGGAGCAATTATGCTGCTGTTGAGGCGTTTTTGAAGTAGCAGCTCGTATTCAGTATAGGATGGAGGTATAGGATGTGGAGAGAGGATGTCGTGCTGAATTAACAGTAATGATCTGGATGGTCTAAGGGATTGCCAGTACTATATGAGAATGGAGTACAGCAGTAACTGAGCATTGTTGGATTTTCACTTTAGGGTTAGGGTTTCGTCTTACATGCAGTCTGCAATTATTGACCATTTTTATAGTGGTGACTGCACAAGAAATATGCTCGAAATTATAGCAAGTACCGTAGCAAAAACTATGGCTGGCCGATAACAGGGTATATACATCATGTCAGGGAATATAGTAAAAGACGTAGTGCTGGTGATGATGTTTTCCCTCACAGTCTGAAAGTAATAAGAAATATGCTGACATAGATAAAGACATAGATAATATCGACAGAGCGACAATCATTATTCCAAATATCATAACCATGCAATATCATCAATTCTCAACTCTCTTGACAGGAAGAACTCTCACATTGAGTGGCCCCTTCTGCCACAGCATGTACGTCTTCTGCTTCGCAATCCAGTCGGTGCTGTCCTGCTGCAACTCCAAGTCAAAGTTCCACAGAAAACGAGACAGGATCAGTCGCATTTCCGCGTAGGCAAGGCTGTATATAGACACTTCTGATCAGCACATCAACTCTTTTTAATTTCTTTTGAGTGTTTGAAGGGCTGACTCACTTCTTCCCCAGACAATTCCGTGGCCCGTACGAAAACGGCTGAAACGCTTTCTTGTCGTCATCCGCGAACCGTGCATCATTATCCAGCCATCTCTCCGGGATGAACGAGTTGGCGTCCCGGAAGTTGCGCTCCGAGCGATACGTCGCCCATTGGTGGACCCCGACGGACGTCTTCTCGGGTACGAATCTCCCGCAGACGATCTCTCCCGGCGCCGGCGTCGTTCGAGGGAACGTGCTCGGTACCGGCGGGTACAGGCGTAGCGACTCCTCCAGGACTGCGTGCAGATACGGCAGCTGCGCGACGCTCTGAAAGTTGATGTCCTTCTCGGTCCGGAACGAGGAGCGGATCTCGCGCTTAAGGGTTTCCAGTGCCTTCGGGTTCTTCAATAGGAGGTAGGTCGCTCCTGATAGCAGGGTAGCTGTTGTTTCGCTCCCGGCGATGATCAGGATCGAGGATGCGGCTTCGATCTCGTCTGGGGTCATCCCTTTTTCGTCATTTGCTCGGAGGATATAAGACACTGGAATCATTAGCTCATAACTGTTACAACATGATCAGCACGAGTAAGTACTTACTAAAGTCTTCACGCCCCGATCCCTGCGCCATTCTCGTTCTCGCTCGCTCACGGGCGAATCGGAACTGGTACTCTCTGCTCTCCATCAAGCTTCTAGGCAGAAACATGAAAAGCATCTCCTTCAGCGGCGACGGGAACCGGCGGGCAGCGCGGACATAGTTGGCGGCCTTGAGTGACGAGAAGATGTTTCTGATCCACCGATGCCAGATACCATCTCTCAGGCAGCCGAACGGTTCCCCGAACGCCAGGTCGCCGATGATGTCGAACGTCGCAAAGTTGTACCAACTGACCAGGTCGACAACGCCATCGTCGTCGCCGCCGTTTGGGCCAGTAGTCGCAGCAGCACGCTTGCGGAGCTGAGCGATCATGAGATCCACATATCGCGTCAGCAGGGCTTCCTGGCCTCTTAGCGCTTTCTCAGAAAAGGCGTGCGACAGAAGACGGCGCATCCGACGATGATCGTCCTGGTTGGCTATGAGCTATCAAAAAGGGAATTAGCTCTGCACCTGTCTATGAGAAAGCTCCTTCTTACAATGTTGGTGGCGCCGTTGAGTGACTTGGTGAAGAACGTCATGTCCTTCTCAAACTCTTTTGTCTTTGTACTGTTTTTGTGGCCTAGAGGGGTTAGATGAGCTTGAACATAGTTACAGAGTTGAGGAGAGTGTGTGTGAAAGACCAACCGTATATATCCCTCCATGCCTGACTGGTATTATACGACAGCTCGTTCGGCGCAATGCGCACCACCTCGCCATACTGATCATGCAGCTCTTTGATTTTGAGGTGAGACACCCCCTTCAAGTCCCAGTAGATGTGATAGAGACGCGTGGCGCGGGCCAGGAAGGGTCCTGGGTAGGAGCGCAACGGGTGCAGGTAGAGATTGTAGAGCAATTTCCCAATTGTGCCGCCAAAGACGAGCTGCAGGCATGTCAGTAGAGGACTTGAATCTTTGGGTGTCTACATATATCGAAGTTGTGGCCTGTACCAACAGCGGGAGCAATCCAGCAAAGAAACCAAAATCACTGCTGTCCATGGCGGTGGTATAGTTAAAAACTCGATTGAGCAGTTCTGTCTCCCACGTGAGGTTGGTTCTCTACACTGGCCACTCCTTTGCAAATATTAACAATGGAAGGGGTCCCAAGAACTTGGATATAATATGACGTGACCCTGTTTTATATATAGCACTTCGTGTCAACCAGACGCCGATCTGCACAACCTTAGTTAACTGTATAAAATGTATAATCCTGGAATAGTTGCATTAAGGTGAGACACATTCCGAGAGGTTCCAGCGAATCAGACGAGCCCGTAATCTCGTATATCTCGTATACGTCGGAAACAGTGTGGACTTGGTGGAGAAGCTGCTGCGCTAGTAATTGCTTTTTTTCCGGTGTTGCGGGGAAGGTCATGCTTAACCAGGATTAATTCGAGTTTTCTGCAACGTCGTTGACACTGGCCACGTATCATGTCTGTAGGCAGTGGACTGATTGGTGAGGGAAATATTATTAATGCCCGCGTGGGGTTTCATTCGGTTGATCGTCCAACGCGAGCTGTCAGCCTGTCATACTGGCAGGACGCGCTAGTCGTACTAAGCTATGCATTCCAGGTAGGAGTATATGTACTATGTACCACCTACGGAGTACTCTGTATACGGAGCAGACAAAGGAATTAACGACTGAATACTCCGTACAACCCCCATCGTATGGTTCTCTTCAACTCCACCAGGTAGATAGACCATATGAGCTGTACATACATACAACAAGAATTGACACCACACTCAGATCATCTCTAAGGCAGAATTCTGGCTTTAATATATTAGATTTAGATATTTTTAAGTATTTATTCTATACTTATATAGGGTGTTGCCTTAAGTTGCTTGCTAGATTAATCCTGACGAATTATTATTATGATCTTTCTAATATTCCTAATCGGGTAAAGGATGGGCTCTCTTGTTGGCTGCATGTGATCTGGACTAGTGCATGAGTCACGTGATTTACCCCAGCTTTGCAGAATTCGGTTGCCTAACTGGGTAGGGAGCTCTGGCCACTTCTACCCCAGACATCGTACTCCTCGATATCTGCAAGCTTCGTCTCGTACAAATCATAGGCTATTGACCTAGATTTGCTGGAGTTTCTTAGCCGCAACACTGGAGTTGCACGACATTGCCCTTTCTTTTTTTTTTTGAGGTCAACGCCGTCTGCTTCCTGTTAAGCGTTGTCCAATCTATCCTACGGGTATCGCACGCATTATCCCAGACTGGAAGTGAGGTGAACTGGTAAAACTACTGGTGAGTGAATGCTGACCAGACAATAACCAACTTAAAACAAGAAAAAAAAAGCTAATACTCAACACGAACAGTGTGTTCACAATGGGCGAAATAGGCGAATACTGGCGCGACGTCAAACAGAATCGCCGAAAGCGCAAGCGCGAGGATCCGCAACGGCGTCGATGCTGGGACTGGATCGTCTCGACAGGCACTAGCTGCCACTACGCCAAGAACCGGTCCATGTTCACGACATACCGTCGCGTGCCGCCGGGCATCGTGGACAAGCCGAAGGTGATTGGCATAGGGACGGTAGAGCTTAGGGTGCCACACAGTCCCGGCGACACGCAGCCTCCGAATGTGCTGGTCTTGAAGGACTTCCTGCACGTACCGGACGCGGTGTGCAATGGCTTCAACCCGATGTTCCTGGGCGGCCGCAGTCATTTTGGCAAGGATGTCTTGCAGACCAGGGATGATTCCGACCGGCCGACATGGTACGCCACGTTTTATCCGGGCAAGAACCTTTATCGACTGGCCATTGCCGGAATCCGCAGGGAGAGACGTATCTTGAAAAGAAAAGTACTTACATATTGAGTCTTTATCTCTCGGATGAGCAGGTTACTGCGTTGAAGCGTATAAACAGGTCGACGGAGTCGTGATTGCGTTGATATGCGCTCTAAAGTATGCTTTGACAATCTTTTTTATTTTATTTCTATTTTTATTTGTATTACTAGAGAAATTGCAGAGTGTATATTATAACAACAGCTTTTCTTAAATATCATCGCATAAAAAATCATAGCATGAAAGAAAGAAAAGAGTCCAAAATTGACCTTCCATTTCCATTACAATGGATAAATAAGCACATTAATTACATGCATGCATACACGCTCTAGTGAGGAAACATGCACAGCCTAGGCAGTATCAAGCCAAGAAAAGAGACAATCTATATACCTACCTACCTACCTACTTACCTACCTACATATCTACCTAGGTATGTATATACGTATCTATTCATGTGTAAACCTATCTAGTGTTCTTTCCTTTCCTTTTCTCAATGCCATTGGATTGTTCATCTAAAGTGATCTGGAGTCATTGATTCATTCACTCACTCTGTCCATAGATATATGTAAGGGCTAGCGCCACACAATTGTTATGCCGCTGTTTTGCCACTGAGTGACTTACCCCAGTGCAGTTTGCAGTGGGTGCTGCTATTTCTTTTTCCCCCTTCTAGACAATTACTCTCTGCACATGTATGTACAGTACAGTACAGTACACAATTCGTTTGTGTGTCTTCTTGCTTCTTTCTAGCAACATTAATTGCTATTTGTTAGCCTTGATAATATAATCTACATACATACATACATATATAGGCTTCTTCTGTTGTGTTGATGTCTGCGTTGGTCTACATATATATCTCCTTTCTGGCTCTACCTTACCAATCATGTGGAGGAGTGGGTGTTTAGAGTGTAACAGTGTTGACAGGTTCAGCTAACTGACAAACTAACTAACCTCACGGCATATGCTGAGTATAGAGTACAGCCTGAGGTTAATATAGATGTTGGTTATGCTGGACAGAACAGAAGAGAACTGAACTGAACTGACCTGAGCTAAGCTTAGATGAGATGAGATGAGATGAGCTAGACAACTGACTGACTGACTGAATAAGTATGTACAGCTACAGCTACAACTATAGCTATAGCTACAGCTACCTACTACCCATGCGTTTGTTCAAGAGCATCATAGATATAGAACCACTGGTTTACAAGGTACTATACAGTACATACATGATTAAGGTGATTGATTATGAATGGTCTATCCAACAAAATCATTTTCAAAAAAAAAAAAGGCAACTGCGCGAATTAATTGATACACTTAAATTAGTACTCTGACATACTATGTCAGACCAGGCAAGACCAGGCTAGGCTTTGGCCTGCTCAGCAGTTTCAGTTTTTCCCAAAAGAAAAGTATGGTTTTAGCTTCAGCGGTTATCAATATCATACGGAATCTGATCGATCGATGGAGGTTGCGGGGTAGATCTACGTTTGTCGATGACACTATACGGAGTACACATGTACTTGCCTTGTTTTGTTGCCTACCTACCTTCTATCCTTTTCAGCCTGTTCCTACATTACAAAACCAGCCGGCAAGGACTCCTCCAAAACTGGCTGGGACCGCGTCAAGCTCCGGACGTACAGCACAGTACCACGTCAACCTGCCTGAGACACGCGGGCATCCACCTAGATCATTGATTGACCTTATGGTCTAGAACGGGAAGACGTGGACGATAGGTGCTGGAGTGGATTTAAACCGTTGCCGTTTGTTTGTCTGTTTGTCGAGCAGCATTTTGTTTGGAGATCGAGTGGATGTTTCCTTGGGTTAGTGAGGACAACCAACTAGCTGTGTGTGACGGCTGAATAGGAGAAGAAAGAGTATTGATGGTGAAGAAATAGGGTCGCCACGGTTATACCGTACGTTCACGTTAGGAAAGGAAATGAAAGGTAGTTAAGTCAAGAAGGCTTCGTCAGGAAGACTGGGTAATAATTACTCCGAAATCATAACCTGCAACACTAACACCAGGTGAGGCATCCAATTCAGAAGGATAGATAGAGATCTCGATCTCTTCCAGGACTGTAACTGGAGTCTGCGATCCTCCTGGTATCCACTTGTCTGCAGGTTTATAACGAGTGCTGAAACAAGCCACTGCTGCCAGGCTGGACCATTAGACTCGAAGCATCATATGGGTCAGACAAGGCTGACATGCTGATACGAATTCGCTGTCTCAACTGTGTACAGTAATATCAACGTAACGATCAAGATCAGTCTGGAACATGCTGTCGAGCCATTCAAACTTCTCAACTGGTTCTCATAGTGCTACGATCACCTGACCGAAGACTGGTTCCCCGGATTTTCGGCGATAACTGCGGCTATCGAAGGTATTCTTCTTAGTCTGGGGAGGCTACAATGCCGGGGCTAGACTGGCACTGTTCCAGAAAAAGCCAAGGCTGATTCTAGCCTGCAAGAGAAGATTTTCGTCCTGCAGGGATTGTCATTGCGTTCAGCCATCTGCGTACAACTGTTGCATGAACCTTTGGTGGTGACTGGTGAGGTATTTAACAGCATGTCGGTGTGACGTTTCACTTGGGCAGCTCCTGTTTGAGTTATCCAGAAACCTCTCTGCAGCTGCCTGCCTGCATCTGTAAGGAATTGCCAAGTCGCAATACGATCAACGTGGGGGATAAATGATAATTAAAACGCGGGAGAAAAAAAAGTTTGACCCCGCAAGGCAGATGATTTCTGCGGAGGCTACAGAGTATCACTATCAGCTCCCCTGCCAAGGCTGATTTGGATCGAGAGTATCAGGCAGAATTCTAACACGAATCAAGGCGTCGATGGAATTGACTGCCATTCCTGCCCAAAGTGATTGCCCCTGCCGTGCCTCGGTGCTCACTGCTCGCGTGCCCAGTACCCACCGCTTTGGAGTAGTCACCTGCACAGAGATGAAGCTGAAGTTCTTCTGTGAATCGCCCTGCAGACAAGTCATAGCAGTTCGTAAGTGGCTGCTCGGAGATGCTCCGTTGAGGCCACGCTGCAGAGACTGGCTGGTCGGAGTTAGCGTCCGCCGTGCTGTACCTACCTGGGTAGGTAGGCGCTTTCTCTTTAAAAAAAAATATTAATCAAAATAAAATAAATAAAATAATCAAAATAATCAAACACAAAAAACGCCACAGTTCCATGGACGGTAAGGTGGATGGCTACGGAGTATTATTGTTCTCCCATCTTCCCCGGCGCTTCTGTGGAGAAGGCCTTACCGACTCCGAGCCATTCCCGGACCATCCGGAAAATTCCTCTTCCAGCAGAGGGCATAAATACCACGACAGACCAATCCATCGAATAGAATCATCTACCGAGATATATACTCCGTATTCGTCCTCGTATTCTGCTGCATGTCCATCGACCAGCAGCGGAAAATCGATGAGGCGAGCACGTTCGGTCGGCAGTGACGTAGCAGCCCGAAGAGGAAAGAAACCGGAAGGGCGGTGCCGAGTGGGGAGGCTCTTGCCCGTTTTGCGGTGGCGGCCTCCCGGCGAAGTCAAAGGCGAAGACGACGCGACGAGCGGGCCGGACATCTCACGATGATTGCTTGCGATGGACGCCGGCTTACCGTTTCCACCCGATGCGCACACCGGCGCCCGTTTAGGAGGCAGAGTGACACAAACGAGGCGATAAGAATGAGCATGATAATCTGGGCAGGAATGCTCCGCCGAAAATGTCTGCAATTGGCATCATTCTTGCCCGTCAGTGGCACGGTGGTGGTGGCAGCATCCTGAAGACATGGATGTGCTGCACGAGATCCCGTGGTGCGCTATTTATCTCGAGACAGACAATGCAATTGTAGGTATGCAGCGTTTCCTTGCGTCGACGCACTGTCCACGATTTTCCGGGGATCTGGGGGCAGAAGGATCAAGTATGCGCAGACAACTCAGTTCATCCACCCAGAATCAGGCGTCCTGCGTAGTAAGTCGATCTGAAGGGTCATATGGGCCGGGGCGTAGCGTCCCACGGGTCGAGGAAGGAGCGGCCAGCGTCATCGCCCTCCACGCCTTCCCCGGCATCGCCGCATTGGGCGGGCGGCTGTCTCGGACTCCCCCGTGCCTGCCGTATTTGACGACGCGGCCTCCCCCTCCACCCTCTCCATTGCTCCTTCCCATTGTGTCCGCTGTGTGCTGTGCTCCTTCCGCAACCACCTCTCCGCTCCTTCCTTCCTGTGTCTGCCGCCAAACGATGGTCACATCAGCTGGCGTCAGCTTATCTCGCCTTCCCGCTTCGTGCTCGCTCGTCCTCTCCCTGCTGCTTCGCCGCTGTCCGCTCCTATAGCCGCCTCGACTTGCTGTCCTTCGCCATGACCTTCCGAGATCGCGTCCGGAAGGTCTTTCGCCGTTCCTCCTCCGCTAAGGAGAGCAGCAATGGCAAGCCCAAGGTCGAGTACTACCGACGCGGCGAGGTCCCCCGCTCCAAGTATCGCGGGCCTGTCGATCCCGAACACCGGCGCCAATTGTACGCCTGGAACTTTGCTGCTGCCACAGTCGACCGTCGTCGTTCCTTCGATCTGGACCTGTCGCCGTGCACCAGTATTCCCGACAACGGGCGCAGCACCGAGGAGGAGGTGACGGAGACCGAGCCCGAGGTCGAGAGGCGACGGCTGAGTGTGCCTGGAGGAGGTACGATCTGACGGCTGTTGTGGTGTGCATGTACATCGACTGACTCGTGCAGGTGCTATTACTGTCTCCCACCACGAGGTGGCTCCCTCGAGATCTGTCGACGCGGTGTCGCAATCCTCCACGGCGGTCGCCTCGGATAGCTACGGCTCGTCGGTACTGACCTTGAAAGAGAGCTCAGATTGGCCCCTGACCAAGAAAGACGGGCTGAAGTCGCTGAAGGAGGCGCTGTGGTATACCTCGCCCATCAGGCGGCGGACATCGGCTCCTGAGAAACAGCTGCCGTTTGCACCGGAGGACCTGAGCCGCGCGTTGAACGCCGTCCAGATCTGTTCGTAATCGTCGGGTGCGATGATTACAGTCTTCCGTTCTAGTTAGTATTCAGGAGGATACGCCATTCTCCATTTTTACTTTTTTTAGTGGGCCTCCTTTTTCTGTATCGCATACTCTCTTTAACTCTTATTTCTACCTGAAACGGAATCTTACAAACCGAGTGATGACCTCGGAAGAAAGCGAGATTGCGAGCGCATTTCGACATGGTTGTTTGCATGGGGGAACGGCGTTTGCGGTTTGTGGCTGTGGGCATGGTCTCGTTGCATTGAGCATAGAGTGGGCTTTATGCTGGATAGATCGATAGATCAGATTGATCTGCATGTCGCATCTATCATGTATATAGAATGTAGATTGAATGTAAACAAAGTAAAGACGGAGTAACTAAACCTTTCTAACCTACGTTAGTACGACAGATAGTACCAGGTATCAGTTACTATTTCTATTATAGATCTCACCTGGTTAAGCCGGTATATAACTAGGTATAGGATTCTACTAATGATTTTATAGACCTTATAAATTAACTCCTAACCTTTATAATTTAAGACCAACACCAAACTGTCGCTCCTTTTCCTTCATCAACCACTCCTTCAAGTCAAACGCTCCATCCTTAAGAAGTGCCTTATCTGCATTCCAGATGAAGGTATTCCCCAAAACTTTAGAGCCACCCTCGAATCTTATCAGGCAAGCTCGAATCCTGTACATGTCGTGGGGAGGAGGGCGTGATGGGGGGGGGGGGGGATATTTTCGCTCTTTTTTTTTCCCCCTTTTCTTTTTCTGCCTTCTATGATTGAATTGAATTAGGGAAGAGAGGGTTGCTTTTCAAGGTAGTACTTACTTACGGAGTACACTTGTGCTAAGTAAGTAATATGATGGAAATTTCGTAGTTTCAAAAATAAAGACCAGAGTGGAGTGGTACTCGTAGTAGTCTTGCAAAGAGGAAAATTAAGAGTTCTCCGGAGGACTCGCACAGGCAGGAAAATATTTCTATGAATTGTGTGTCATTATTGAATGTTGAGGCTAAGGCAGTCATGCACATATGAATTCCACCCTACCTATCAGGCCAGCTACTTACTGCATCGCACCAGTAGGGAAGTGTTCATTATTAACTACCGCCTACCTAGTATATTTAAAAGGCCTCCCTTTACTCAAGGGCAACTTAGAGAATACAACCTACCTAACTATCGACTAAGAACTCCTACCTCCAAGAACGTGTTATCCTTGATTTCTCTTCCCAATTTCTCGTGTTTTTGGTCCTAGTAACCTTTCCTTTTTTTTTTGGAATCTCCGCAATCGCTAAGTCAGCACCGCTCAGATTAGTAATCAACCACCAATTCGTTCGACATGATGAGTCCCATGATGATATATGTCTGTCTTACCTATACGGAAGTATGTTTTTATTATTTATTACATCCTGTTCGAGCTGATACTATACTATCTGGAATATAATTTAATTCCCATAGACATGAGCTAAGCTCAGTAACTCTATCTCTTCTCTTTTACTCTCAAGTCGAGTCGTTTATTGGTTCGTATGTACTGTACAGTACCAATCGTTCGTTACCTATCTCATAATCCCTTCTAAGATATACTACATGTCTTTAAGAACCTAGCTAGGTATTATTATTATCCTCCAGTAAAAATATTTAATATTGCTTCGCTGCGCTACGCTCCGCAAATATTATTATTCTATCTGTCTACCTACTGATTCACCCACCCCCTCTGACTGAGCACCACCCGATACCCATCCGGATCCGCAACCGTCACCCCCCACTGCTCCCAGTACGGATTACGTGCCGTCACCCGCGTCCCGTCCGCCTCGACGAGCCGCTTGATGACGACGGGGTCGATTTCGCCGTCGACGTAAAGGACGAGGAGGTCTTCTTCTGTTGGGGTGGGTTTAATTTCGTTGTCGGTGTTGACGTTCACAAGTTCAAGATGCCATGCTGCTCCGGGGAAGCCGAGCATGAGTAGTTCATTCTCTTCATCCTCATTATTATCATTGTGGTTGTGGCGGTGGTGGTTGTGTTTCTTCCGAAATAGCACCTTCAGCCCTAACCCCTCTACGTAGAACCGTTCTGCTGCGACAAGGTCACGGCTTGGTCGCGCCAGGCGCAGATGGCTTGTTGCCGAGGGGTGTTTTCCGGTGTGGTCTTTTTGTGCGAGGGGGTGGGGTGGGTATTGCGCAGGAGTAGCAGGAGGAGTTGTGGACATGATGATGGAAACTGGAACAATAAGAAAAAAAGGAGTAAAAGGAGTAATGTTTTTAATAGAGGTAGGTATATACATGTGTTTGTATGTGTATGCTCTACAATAAAAGCATTCAGTGTTTTTATATATATATGCCTAGATAGGAGGCATATACGTTAATCCTCTAGAGAAAGAAAAGCTATGAACCTAGATCTAGACCCCTCGATATATAATACATAATAAACTTGATTAGAAATGTTGACAGAGAAAAGAAGTGGCTTGAGCAGTAATTAACCTAGTTTTTAAATTTTCTCTTTCCTGGAATAGTAAGAATGGAGTCTGTGCTCTATGCTCTGTGCTGTTAATGTCTGTGTGTCTGTGTGTTTATTTGCCCCGCATGGGAAGGGAGGTAGGGTCCTCGTATTCTCTTTCTATTATTATTATTCATTTTCTCTGCCAAGTACCAGTAATCAATAGCAATTTTAATTATAGTTATAGCGACTGACTGACTGACTGACTGACTATTTCTTTCTTCTTCTGGTCCCGTAGTAATAATAGTCTTAATTATTATCCACCTTCTTCTCATTTACTACTAGGTACTCACTTACTACCGACTCTCTAATCTAATCTAGTTATAATTAAGAGAAATTATATATATTTCAGGTATATAGATTAGATGGCATGGATGTGCAGAATTGGTGCTTCTTTTTATGTAGTACCTACCTAATAGGTAGGATAGATAGATCAATGGGCTTTTTCAGAAGTCCTATTATATGTGTACTGTACTGTGCTCTACAGTATGTACTGTACATGTATCTATCTTTGACGTAGTCCATGTAGTCAGTGTAGGAAGAGGTAAGCAAAAAAAAAAACAAAAAAAAGCTGAAAATCAAAATTACAGAGCTATAATATTATATAGTGTCCTGAGAATTACTTACTAGATAGAAAGTATATTTTTAGCAAGAGGTTGCAGTTTCTTACTACAGGGTGAGTCAACTGATGTATGTACTTAACTTAAGCTTAGGAACAATATTTACTGATTTCTAGCTCCCTTAATTAACTACAATAAAATAATCATATTATATCCTCTGCAGATGCGGATTAAAACAAAGTCTCGACATTCCCAAACCAGGCCTTCCCCCCATTTCGATCCAACCGACTCGTCAACGGCCCACCCTTGGTGTAGACCGTCAAATTTCCATCAACACCCAGCTCGCCGTAGCTGACTTCGACAGACGAAGTCTTGCGATCGGTGACCATGGTGATCGGGACAGCCTTCTTCACATCCGGGTTGTAGTACTGGAAGCTACTGCTGGGCACATCGAAGCTCGGATACACCTCGATGTTGAGGCTGGGCGTCCAGTCCTTGGTCCACTTGTTGTTCCCCTGCACCACGTCCCCTCGCGGGATGATCGCGCCGGCTTTGACGAAGACGGGCTGGTACTCCAGCTCCAACGACACGTCCGCCGTCGACCCGCCCTCGTGTACCTCCGTCTTGTTGTAGTACTCCAGGTAGCGAGTCCCCCTGGGGAAGTAGACTTGTCGACTCCCGCCGCTTTCCACGATGGGCGCAACGAGGAATTGCTCGCCGAAGAAATACTCGTCTGCGATGGTATATGTGGAGGGATCGTCGGGGTGTTCGAGGAACAAGGCCCGGATGATGGACACACCCGTCTGCGTGGCCTGGTACGTGTAGCTGCGGATAAAGGGGATCAGATCGTGGTGGAGGTTTGCCGTCTGCTTGTAGATGTCGAGCATTCGAGACGTATACGGCGGATACCAGGGCGTGTGCCCCGTCCCCATGAGGAGAACGTATTCCGGCGTGAACGCCGAGTGGTGCATCCACCGCGCCCAGAGCTCCTCCGTGGGCTTATCTCCCTGGCGAACATAGCCGCCTGTGTCGCTGGTCCAGTGGGAGAAGCCAATGAGCCCGGCGCGGATCGCGCTTGCGACGGTGTACGACAGACCCTGGAAGTCGGAATGGGAATCCCCGTTCCAGACGGTCGTGTAGGACCGGACTTTGTCGAAGGCGCTGCGGGCAAAGTTGTGGAAGCCGTTCTCGCCCCATTTCTCGACCATGCTTTCGTAGCAGAGCTTCTTGAAGAGCTCGTCTTGGATGTTTTGCTCGTATTCTAGTTTTGTCAGCATGTCGAATCTTCTTAACAATGAACGAAAAAATACTGCTGCTGCTGCTGCTGCTGCTACTAACCTGGCATCTCACCCTCCTCACCACGATCAATCTTATACCCCTTGACACCAATCGAAGTAAAGTACTTCAGTTTCTGCTTAAAAAAGTCATAGGCCTCTGGAATCGACAGGTTCAGGGCTGGCCCTAGGAATTGGATGGGGTCAATTCCGGGAAATAGCCATCCATTCGCAACGGAGACGTTGTACAGTTCTGTGTCGTAAAAGGCGCGGTTTGCCACCCAGACCTGAAGTCAATCAGCATGATATTATTTATTACACAGGTGGAGATGACTGACCTGAAAATCAAACCCCCATTGCGTGAGGTTGTTCACCAACCGCTCCGGGTCGGGATAGTACTTGGGATCAAAATCGAAGTTGCCCCATGAATTATTTCCCGTGCCATACGGTCCTAACAAAAACATTACCAAAATCAGTAACTCCTGTCCTGCAGGGTTGGTGTAGAATACCTACGATCAGCAAATATGGCGTGTGCATGAATCTGGTTGTAGTACAGATGGTCCACGACATCGTAGTAATTCTGCTCCGCATTGGTGACATATCCATGGAAATCCTCCTCAAAGTCATCCGAGTACAGCGTCGGCCCATACGCAGAATCCGGCGGCATGATGCTGCGAGCTGACAGGCCGGTGTAGTCCTGGATAATCGACTTGAAGTCGTTCTCCGCCGTCGGCGTGATCACATAGTATGTCAGCGTGCTCGTGTTGAACACAAACTGAGCGGAACCCGAACCGGAACCACCGCCGGGAGAAGAACTGCTGAATGAGAAGGATCCCATGTCCGGCGTGTCGATGTAGACGCCATAGCCCGCGGTGCTGAAGAAGAACGGTGCGCGCGCATTGTCCCAGTTTATTCCGGCGGAATTGCCAACGCCCTTGATCTCGAATGTGATGTTGCTGTTGATTATCGCATTGTTCCACGGATACTCCCAGACGCCGTAGAAGTGGTTGTCAGGGCTATTGGTGACGCGGCCGCCGACGAAAGGCTTGCTGGACTTGACCGTCACCTTGGCGATGCTTGGGCTGAGGCATTCCCAGGAGACGGTGCCTGTATTATTGTTATTATTACCGGATATCTTTCCATCATTGTCGATATCGACTGTGGTGAGAGTGGTGTTGTCGTTGCCTATGAAAACAGAAAACTCAGTATGTTGGTTCTACGGCTTGAATTGGTGCTTACCTAACAAGACGACGTTTTGAACCGGCTGCTTTCCATCCCATGATCGTGTCTGAAAAGTCAGCGGGTTTTTGTTGGCCACCGTCAGAGGGCAATTATAATTATTCATAGACGCCAGGCCTGTTCGGAACAGAGCCAGGCTGGCAATGATACTTGGCCAATGCATGTGTAGCGGAGTATGGAGGTATAATTAAAACGATACTCTTCGAGTTGATACAGATAATCCATCCGGAGTTGTGATGTTTGTACACGATTTATACTCATCGGCATTACCCCATGGGGGGAGGCCCTGCATTTCATTACCCTATTCGGATATCCTCCAAAGCAGCGATGGAATAGTATAAGTCTCCCCGCAAGCCAAGCCTACGAATAAAATCAATATAATTCCAGACTCTGTTCTAATTTTCCCACCAACCGGAGCGTTTTGTTTGTTCAGCCCTGTCGATCAACACCAGGATTCTAGTTCCCCAACACCTGCGCCACTTACAGACACACGGGATTTGCCAAGAATGCGGGGTCCTCGCTGCAGAAATTGAATTCATTACTGTCAAAGTCAATTACAATTTTGGCATGGCTGTATTGTACCTAAGTATTCTATTCTTATGAATCACAGTCTATTGTTATTATTATTCGTGGATGATTCAAATCCCCGAGGCATCTCTATAATAATAGCAGCCCGCTACCATAACTTTATTAAGGCTTGGGACAATGATGCAGTGACATCTTTATCTCCGAAGAATACTTACTAGATGTTAACTATCTACTTACCTGGTTTTATGTATACTTAGCTAAGCAAGGCCAGTTTATTTTGTACCAACTTGGCCTTGGTAGTCGACAGTGTGCCCGTAGATTTTTGCTCGGTAGGTAGGTTGATAGGCAAGTCATTCTTGGTTTCGTACTAAAAATACTATTCTATTCATTCTCAAATTATTTCTGGGTATAAATAACATAAACGCCAAACGCCAAAGTCCATACAGAATAAGAACAGTATTTACAAAGTCGTCATACCTAATCTTCATGCGTCACCGCCATATCCAGTACTTCGACTCTCCCCCGTCCCCGCGTCTCTCCTCCAACAAACTCGCCGAGCCCCTTGAACGCGCCGGGCTCGGCGAAGCCAATGACCTCCCACTCGTCGCCCATGACGTCCTCCGACTCGACAGACTCGATATAACTCAGGATCTTCTCCTTGACCGTGGCTGGCGCTTTGGGCGCCTGCTCTTGCTCTTGCTCCGGTCCTTCTTCGGAATCAGAGTCTTGCTGCTGCTTTTTGGATTTGCCCTTTCCGCCCTTCTTGTTGTTGGATTTCCCTGCTCCGCCGGATGAGTCCTTGTTCGATGCCGCTGAGGCTGCCCCAGCCTTGACCGACTGCTTCAGCAACGGCACCGGACACGTCACCCGCAGTCGCATTCGTGCCCGCATCACGGGGATGGGCTGCCATGCGATCAGGGCCTTCATCGCCTCCAGGGCCTGGCTCTTGGCCGACTTGGTCGTCGAGAAGCCCTTCCAGAGAGGCTTTCGTTGTTGCTGCTGTTGTGGCTGCTGCTCCCCGTTCTCTGCCGGCTCCGTGGGAGTATCCGCCCCTCTCTCGTGACGTCCGCTCTCCACCGCCAGCTGATTCAGCGCCTTCTCGATCATGCCCGGCGGATAGACGCGTTTGGTGGCAGGATCGACGAGTCTTGCCGATACGATGTCGACCACTTCCTTCTCGACCCGCTCGAGGATCTCCTTCCGCTCACGCTCGCCTACCTGGACTTCGCCCTTGCGCAGAATTTCCTGGATGATCTCGTCCATAGGGACATCGGGCCCAAACGCCTTGGCCAACTCGGCGGCAGGGGCGGTCTGGGCCTTGGACACGGACAGAAACACGGTGTGAACCTGGAGGACATTGTCCAGGTCCTTTTCTGCACCGGACCGGTATTCCAGCAGCTTGTTCTTGTAGCATGCGAGCTCAAATCGCTTTTTGCCTGTGCAACTCTCTCCATGTTAGCGGGGTGTGGCGGGGTACGAGGGCACCGCAGGGTAGAGGGACACAACACAAAGACGCGATGGCAGAACATCATAAATTAATTATCGCAACAAGTCATACCCTTTTTTAATCGCACGATGGACACATTTGTGAATTTGATCTGGTTGGAGGGCGTTTTTATGCCGACGGGCATCTTTGCGGAGTGGGATGCCCTGATTAGATAGCGATGAAACCGTCAAGTCTTCCCCAGCTGCAGAAGAACAGTTTCAGTGGCCGGCAGGCAAAAAATAGTAAATATACACCGGATTTGGTATTATCAAGGAAGAACCGCACTGTACTGCCCTGTTATTGGTATGTCGAAAATATCGGCAGAATGTTTTGTATGACGCTTATCCGCTGAGCGGGGCCGTGCGCGGCAGAGGATGACTCAGCAAGCATGTGAGCCTGATTTCAGCCTGATTCTGAGCCTGATTCCTGAGGCGGCAATCATGGGAGCCCGAGAGCCTGATAGGCTGATAGCGATAGCAGCGCGCTAGTCCTGATGCGGAGCTGGGTCATGTGCCGCCAGAGCAATTGCGTTTGGCGTTCCTTGGGAGTCCGATAGCCTGCCTCGTCTGGTTGGCTCCCGGCATATCATCCGTCCCGCTAGGCAGTCGCTTCGTCACCGCTGCCATCTCTGCTCCCTACTGTTTCATCCCAGACCGACTCTCATCTTCATCGGTCTCTCTGGAGGCTGGTCTCCGGCTGATATTCTTATTTATCGACGTGACGTCCGCATCCCGTCCTCTCCAGTTGTGTACGGCGTACTAGGTATGTATATCTATCGTCAACCTCGACTGCGACGTCATCGACTCTGATAGCAGATAGCTGACCCCGTCTAGAGTACTATTGCCTGAACGACCTTCTACCATCTCCATTGCCATCTAAACTCCACCATGAGAGTTCTCCCTGCGACGCTCCTGATCGGAGCGGCAGCTGCGGCCGCACCTCCGGCTCAGCAGGTCCTCGACCTGCCCACGCAGGGCGCCGACGCCATCTCCAAGCCGCTCCATCATCTCAAGGAGCATCTGAAGACGCTCACCGATGATGCTCGTAGTCTCTGGGAGGAGGTATCCAATATCTTCCCCGGCGCAATGGAGAGCGTTTCGGTCTTCTCCTTGCCCAAGAAGCACACCCGTCGCCCGGACTCGCACTGGGACCACATCGTTCGTGGTTCGGACGTCCAGAGCATCTGGGTTACCGGTGCCAACGGAGAAAAGGAGCGTGAAGTGGATGGGAAGCTGGAGACGTACGACCTGAGGGTCAAGAAGGTCGACCCCAGCTCCCTGGGTGTTGATCCCAACGTCAAGCAATACAGTGGATACTTGGACGACAATGAGAACGACAAGCACCTGTTCTACTGTAAGGATACTCCTACTGCTCTGATGACGTATCGAGGTAATTAATTTTATTCCAGGGTTCTTTGAATCTCGAAATGACCCGAAGAATGACCCCGTCGTCCTCTGGCTGAATGGTGGCCCGGGATGCTCGTCCCTCACGGGCTTGTTCCTGGAGCTTGGCCCTAGCTCCGTTGATGAGAATCTGCAGCTCCATTACAACCCATACTCGTGGAACTCCAACGCGTCGGTGATCTTCCTGGACCAGCCGGTCAATGTCGGCTACTCGTACAGCGGGTCCTCCGTCAGCGACACCGTGGCTGCCGGCAAGGATGTCTACGCCCTGCTCACTCTTTTCTTCAAGCAATTCCCCGAATATGCCACGCAGGACTTCCACATTGCTGGAGAGTCCTACGCTGGCCACTACATTCCTGTATTCGCCTCGGAGATCCTCTCCCACAGGAAGCGAAACATCAATCTTAAGTCGGTCCTGATCGGCAACGGTCTCACCGATGGCCACACCCAGTATGCCTACTTCCGGCCCATGGCCTGTGGAGAGGGTGGTTACCCGGCTGTCTTGGACGAGAGCTCGTGCCGCTCCATGGACAACGCCCTGCCTCGCTGCCAGTCCATGATCCAGAGTTGCTACGACACCGAGAGCACCTGGGTCTGTGTCCCTGCGGCCATCTACTGCAACAACGCCATGCTGGCTCCCTACCAGCGCACCGGCCAGAACGTTTACGACGTGCGCGGCAAGTGCGAGGACAGCAGCAACCTGTGCTACAAGGCCCTGGGCTACACCAGCGAGTACCTCAACCAGCCGGAGGTGATCAAGGCGCTTGGTGCTGAAGTCGACAGCTACGACTCGTGCAACTTCGACATCAACCGGAACTTCCTCTTCCACGGCGACTGGATGAAGCCGTTCCACCGCGTGGTCCCCGGCCTGCTGGAGCAGATACCCGTCCTGATCTACGCGGGTGATGCGGACTTCATCTGCAACTGGCTCGGCAACAAGGCATGGACGGAGGACCCTGGAGTGGCACGGGCGGAAGGAATTCGCGTCGACGGAGCTGGAGGATCTCGTGATCGTCAACAACGAGCACCAGGGCAAGAAGATTGGACAGGTGAAGTCCTCGGGCAACTTCACCTTCATGCGGATCTACGGAGGAGGCCACATGGTGCCGATGGACCAGCCCGAGGCGAGTCTCGAGTTCTTCAACCGCTGGCTCGGAGGTGAATGGTTTGCTCACTGAGGAGTATATCATTGTTTTTTGGCTTGTTTGTCTTTGGTTTATTCTGTTTGACGACGTCTGAATCTTACATCCCATATTATTATATGAAGAGAACCACACAATCAACCCTGTTCAACTGCTTACCCTTACCATCGAGGTTTGCTTGTTCTTTTGGCCTGATTGATTAGGAACAGAAGTGATGATGAGTTGAACTTGAATATAGAAATTGACTTTTCTGTTCTCGTTCTTATCTTAGATTAATGTACCTCGCGTTCTAGCATGAATCAGTGTCTATGTTTTTTCAAGCACTTCGTACCTACGTATACTGTCAGCTTCATAAATGGTTAGGACTTATAAGACATTAGCATTTCTCATTCATTTTCGAAGGAAAAAAAAGAAATTGTTGGTATGTTTCATTGGTATTCATTCTTTATTTTTGTTGTCACATGCATATGCATGCCTCGTCTCTTCTTTTTATTTCTTCCTGACGAGACAAGTAATTTTTTCAGGTCAGATCAGATCCTTTTTTTTTCCATCCTTGACTCCCCTCTGACTGCAAACAACTTAACCTAGCCAAGCCAAAGAAAGGAAAAAAACACACAGCATAAACAAGTTTCTCCGCATATCGTTTAACCCTTCTTCTTGCTGACACCGACAGTGCGTCCGCGACGGCCGGTGGTCTTGGTGTGCTGACCACGCACACGCAGACCCCAGTAATGACGCAGACCGCGGTGGCAGCGGATCTTCTTCAGGCGCTCGAGGTCCTCGCGCAGCTTGCTGTCGACACCGTTGGAGATGACCTGGTGGTCCTTGCCGTCGTTGATGTCGCGCTGTCGGTTCAGGAACCACGTCGGGATCTTGTACTGCGTCGGGTTCTGGATGATGGTGACGATGCGCTCCAGTTCTTCCGAGGTGATCTCACCGGCGCTGCGGACAAGATCAGTCAGTCGGATGGGTTGTTTGGGTGGTTTGTTTGGGGAAGGAGGAAGGCTTCCAACGCACCGCTTGGTCAGGTCAACATCGGCCTTCTTGCAGACCAGGTTGGAGTAGCGGCGCCCGACACCCTTGATCCGGGTCAGGGCGTACATAATCTTCTGCTTGCCATCGACGTTGGTGTTGAGCAACCGCAGAATGTACTGGAAGTTCGACTTCTCGCCGGATACGAGCGCTGCAGGGAAAAATCGATGTCAGCATGTCGTTTTCATTTTTAGTTCTTTGGCAATAGTTGCAATCCGACACGTCCGACAACTTCCTCCTTAAATCACCAGGACAGAAATCCATCGGATTGGAATCTGCAACTGGGAACACATCTCAAGGGGGACATACACATGGTGGGCAATGGCGCTGCGGTATCGCCGGTGGTGCGTTGGTTGTCGACGACGAGACGAGTGCGAGCGAGAAGATGGAAGTCGAGCCTCGAGCTGTGCTACTTTCGCCTGGTCGCTAAGCAAACGAAAGGGTTGTGGGATGGGCAAGGACGCCGCTAACCAGAATCGGTATGGTGCCGTGAGGGCTCGCTTGAGATGCGCTAGGCCCGGAATGGCTGGTAAGCGAGTCGTCTCCCTTCCGCCCAATGAGATTCGTTTACCGCCGCCAGGGCTGCTTGTCATGTGGGACCTTCCTTTCATGGTTAGTTTGGGAGATTTCACTGACAGAGATAAACCTGCCGTCAGCATCTACAGAATCATGTTTGTCTGACTTTGAGCTCTCTGTCCTATTCTTCAGTAAGAGTCAATTCATGGAATACATCCATCTATCTTCTATTCCTTCGGAGCTTTATGCATCATGATTTTCCAGCTGCGAATTCTTTCCCTATCATGGACATGAGACGATAACTGACGACAGGTCAATTGTACTATATACAACATGATGACAATTCTAATCTAATCACCATCTACTTCTCGAATCTTGAATCCCATCATCTCATTCGACGGAACTGCCTTTTCATCCTTCATCTTCAACGCCGTTTCCACTCCCGCCGCCGGCACGCGGTACTCGAATCGCTTCCCCTCTCCCGGAACCTGGCCGTTGGGCAGCGGGTACGGGAACGGGAGGTACTCTGGCAACAGACCCAGTTGGACGAGCACCGTCGCCTGGTCCCAGGAGATGTGTTCGTGGTACAGCCTGTCACCGCGGATGTTGACCACGGCGGTGAATGGGATGCGCAGGTGTTTGTTCGTTGGTGGGATGCCTGGAAGGCTGTAGCAGAACAGTCATGTCAGCATGACGCTCTTGCTCTCGTATGGCATGATTGCGTGTAATCGTCGAGGGTATAAATCAGTCATAATAAGTAGATGGTATACTCACAGCCAATCAATCTCCTTTGTATGGGTTAGACTGAAGATAAACTCGTCGACAATCCGGTCGACGCCCACCGTCCGGCTGATCAGCTCCAATTCCGTGTCTTCGGGGTTGTTGAAGATGAAGTGGTTGCGGTAAAAGTTGCTCAGGGAGGTTCGTCCAATTCCGCCTGTTATCTGAAGCCGTAGATATTAGCAGGTCACATTTTTCTTAGTTGATGATCTTTCTCGATATCTACGGCGAGGTAGAGATCACTCACCGTAGGAATATGATTCACGTATGGTTCCTGCACCATCGTCCCCATGGTCTTCTCCACCGACCGATTCGCAAACTCAAACGACGTGTGCTCTTCCCAGATCTTCTCCAGATCGAAATAAGGGCCATTCATGTGCTTTTTCAGGAAAGTCAGCGTCCTCGTGTGCGCCACGCCGGCCGACGAAAGACGGAAATCTGGATGGCCGGGGACGATAAAACCTGCCGAGGTGGCTTCTGGATACGTATATATCGATTGACTGTCGCCGTCGTCATCCTGCTTCTTCTTCTGTCCTGCTGGTTTGTCGCGTTTACCGGGCAGGTGGAGGAGAGTAGGAATGCTCTCTGGCAGATTCCACTCGTCGTACGTGATGATTGCGACAATTTGTGATTGATGCGCAGCCAGAGAATCATGGAGACTTTCCCCGAATTTCGGGTTGTAATCTCTCGTCGATCCGTATACTAAGACTTGTCAGCTTCGTTCTACAACGTGTGTTCGCAGATCTGATAATTCGACGAAGAAGGACACTGAATAAAATTCAATTGAACAGAAGATACAAAAATGAAAATGAAAATGAAAATGAAAAAGGAAAATGAAAAATGCCCACCAATCAACCCAAATTTATCCTTCACATCACATTCCGGCAGCTCAACGAGCGCATCCAACCCTCTCTTGAACGCGATAGCAAGATCTTCATCATGTCCAGTAATCTGAACAACGGCATACCCTTCCTCAGCCCATTTCTGCCGCGGATCCGGATCTAGCGTCTCGTTTCTCGACTTGTACTCTTCGTAGTCGGCCGGCAGGACGAGGAGCAGTCCCGGTCCATGGCCGCGGCGGGAGAGCGGGGGCTGGAGAGTGATGTTTGGCGCCAGTGTCACGGCAGCGGCTGACGGGAGGGGGACGGGCGTTTCGTCCATGGGCTTATATGTTGTTAAGATTGACTTTTATCTTGTTTTGGGGGATTCTATATGAGATCTGTGTTTGTCTGATATTACTTTATGTTTGTACTTGAAATTGAATGAATGGGGTTAGATTATGCTTTTTATAATTGGCTGTTTTGGTAATCAAACCCCGCTTCTGGCAATATATATATATATTTATCTTCTCCGCATAGGAGAGTTAATTATAGGACTACCTAGATTCCCCTCACTGTTGGCATAATTGTTGCCCAGGCAGATGATATCGAAACGAATCTACGGAGTAATGTATGCAAGTAGGCCAAGTTTAATTAAAATGAACCCTCTGTTTCGGAGAATAGAACGTCATACACAATCCGTTTCTTTATTTTATACCTTCCTCTTTTAATTAAGTAAAGTTTTTGATTTATATAGCAAGCATCTCTAAAGATTAGGTTGTTCTTCAACCATGGAACCAATGCAGAGCTGAGTGAGTGTTGTATTTTATTTCGATCCAAACGGGACGCCTGCAGCTCTGCACGTGACCGAGCTTCCCCCGGCCCAGTTTGTTGCAGAGCTTCTCCAAGTTCTCTTGAGTGAATCCTCACTCTTGCCCACAACTCTTGTCCATTGTGGACTCGCCTCAGCTAGGAGGCACCGTCCTCCGTCTCCATTCGAGTTTTGTCGCGCTCTCAGCTGCAGTTTTCCAGACATCTTGCTTCTTCCCTCGCAGTTTTAACCTCGTCCGCCTTGGCTACATACATTGCTTGCAACTGGCGACTTGAACCATGAATGCACAGATTTTTGAAGCGCTCGACGGGCTCGAAAGCAAACTCAGCGCCCTACTGTCGTCTCTGACGACCTCCCCAACAGCGGCCAGCGCGCCCGCTGCGGCGGCCGCCCTTCTCGAGGCAGACGACGCGGTCTCGTCCGCGCTGGACACCCTGCGCACCCACCAGGCAAACTACGCCAAGATCTTACGACTACGCGCTGAGGCAGAAAGCCTAGAGGAGCGGATCAAGAGCACCGTACGCGACATTGCGGGAATTGGGAAGGAGATCGCGGTCACGACTGGCGACGACGACGACGACGACGATGATGCAAGCGACACGGAGACGGACACTGAGAGTGAAGATGAAGATGAGCGCGACGAAAATTTAATGACAGATGGACGAGGCGAGCAACAGGGCCGTCGGAGGCATGGCCGCAAAAAACGGAAAGAGGTGGATTACAGACTCCTACTCGACTTTGCCCGCAGGATCAGCAAGTACAACAAGCAGGCGGCTGCCGACGCTGCTGCGGGCGTCGGTGCTCGTCCGATCAAGAAGCTTCAGAAGGATGGAGATACAGAGATGACGGACGTCAATGGCGACGCGCACGCGACTGGGCCCGGTCCACACGAAGGTCCGGACGAACCTGTCCCCTCCGTCACCAAGGAAGCAGCCAAGTGGCTCGACGAATCGGCAGACCAGGCACGCCAGGTGTACATGATTCCCTATCCGAGCGAGGACCGGATCCGAATGGGCGTGATGGGACAGCTACAGATGGCAGCAGCAGAGAGACAGATAGACCCCGAGAAGGAGGCTGAGAGGATGGTGCGGGAAGCTGAGGGAATTGCGCTTGCTGGAGACATTCCCGAGCAGATTGGGCCAGATCAGCAGTTGGCTGATGAGGCAGCCAGGGCGGCGGCCGAGGCTGGCTCAACTGTCATGGAGGGAGCGCCAGAACCAGGCGGTAGAGTCATGAGGCCGGCTCCAGCACCGAAACCAAGGGCCAAGCTTGATCTGGACCTTTACGACCCGGATGATGACGATATATGATGAAGTGTCATAATCGGGCGCTGTAATAGAGGGCTGAAAGGAATGAGAAGCTCTAGCTTCTAATGATCTATGCTCGAAACCCGACAGGCGGCAATTGCTCATCTAGGATAACTTATGGAACCTAGCAGAACTACCTTGAATATTACAGAAATTGCTCCAGAAGACAAATCTTGGGTGTTCACACATCATCGACGTGTCTCTGTGCATTCACGAGGACATATAGTCAAGCTCCGGGCGGAGGCTAGTGCCCAGAAACACGGAATCATTTTAATGCATACGCTGCGCCTTACGTCCTTACATATTATGCACCTCTGACCTGGAAGTCCACTTCCTGCAACGCTTGCCAAAGAAATAGAACGGGATGCCGAACAGACACCACAGCACGAGCAGACACATATTCATCATGATCGGGGGCACGTATCCGGCCTGCTCGATCCAGGGCGTGATGAACTTGCTGAACCCGTACCCCCAGAGGTTCTTGTTGACGGTGATGGCGACGAAGATGGACCCCGCGACGGGCTTGTAGCTGTCGACGGCGTACGTGCTGGCGATGGCGGGGATAGCGGCCACCTGGACGCCGGCTGCGGTGTAGCCGATGATGACAATTGCCTGGAGAAGATGCATCGGCATGGATCAGCTCAGTATTTCCAAGAGTCAAAGGGGGGTAGGGGATTGTTTGTTCTTACCTTCCAGTCCCATTTGTACTGATACCCAAAGGCGACGACAAAATTCCCCAGGATGGCAATGGCCACGTAGGGGATCATGGCCGGCAGTCGCATCTCCGGCTCTCGGATGCCGCGGTTCTTCTTGGTCGCCCGCATCGAGACCCAGTCGGACAGGGGCCCGTTGGTGGCCAGCCCGATGAAGGCGCCGATCAGGATGGCGAAGTTGGTGAAGCCGATGGACTGGCTGGACCAGTTGTAGGGCGGCGCGGCAAAGGCCTCGCTTTGCGTCAGGTTGATGGTCAGGAAGCAGCTGGCCGACCACGAGACGACGAAGGCTGACCACTCGACGATCGGGTAGAGGTGGAGCTTCCACGGCACCCAGAAGGTGAGGAACAGTGTCTGGAGAGGCTGTGGCGATGTCTGCCAGAGGTGGAATTGCCGCTTGGAAGGGTATCCGCGGTGGAGGAAGGGGTCCTGCACGACATGCTCCTCATGGACCACCAGATTTTCCTGTCTCGCCTCTGAAGACTGCTTCTCATGCTGTACTACTTCGTCCGGCGGCGTTCCTTGATGGATGTCCTTCGGATGGACCCGATGCCACTTGGTTTCCGGGAAGAAGAAGATTAGCAGCACGATGACGGCCGCAAGCATAGCGACATTGAGCCACCAGAAACTGCGCCAGCCGACGTGGAATGCCATGGGGCCTGAGATTATGGGGCCGACCTGTTGCGGAGGGTTAGGTGTGTTTACTCGTTTTGTCTTATGACTCGTCCTCACCATGAGAGAGCCGAAATAGAATGTGAAGTAGAGCGTGTTGTAGGCGCCTCGCTCGTGCAGAAACTGCGTGTCTGCGATGACTTGCGGTTGGATGCTCTAGCAGGCCATCAGCCAGGAGATTCTGCTGAAGGATGATTTTTTTTGTCAAGGCATACCTCTGCCGGACCGGCACCGAAGCCGTTCAAGACACAAGCCCCCATGAAGCTGCCGTACGTGGTCGCTTTGGCGCGCCAGATATTGGCCGCCAGGCAGATGATACTCGAGAAGATCAAGACAGGCCTTCTACCCAAGGTCTGTGAGAGCGGGACCCTTCAATGTCGTCTATCAGCGGCTGTCTTGAATAGAGTTGCAAGACAAGAGGATGAGGATGCACACCAGAAGAAATTGCTAAAGCCAAGAACGAGAATGCACACGCCAGTTAATTGCACCACAGACGCCAAATCACTATCAAACGCCTCCATGAGATTGGGAAACATGGGCGCGAGGGCCAGGGGCCCGAAACCCTGGATAAAGGAGACCGCGGTGGCGAGGGCAATGGTGCTGAACTTCCAATACCGGTTCCAATTCTGCTTCTCTCATATCAGCGGACGAACGCCATGATGAAGGGTGGAGGGAACCGTACATACAAGAGGATCATGCGGGTCGTTGGACGGCTGGGGCACAAGCACATCGTCGGACTTGGCGGACGACTTGACGAAATGATGCGACCCGACGTCGGTCATGATCTCTGTGCCCGGGTAGATTTTTGTGCCTAGCTCATTTTCGAGTCTGACGCAGTCAGGAGGGACATCCGCATTACTTGCGCAGGTTGTTTGTCGCACTTACTGTCGGAGTGTCTGAAGATAGTATTACATCAACAGTCAGAAAATGTCATCACTAGATAATAGCTAGATAGCTACCTAGCTAGTAGGACAGGATGGACAGGCAAGAACTTGCCGTTTCGTCATAGTTCATCTCCATCTTGACAGATGTCGACCAGTAAGTAGGTAATTGAATCAATTGAAATCTCGCAATCGATACAAACAGAGCGAAGCGCAATTCTCGTCAGGTGTAATAATCCAAAAAGAAAGGAAAGACGAATGGAAGAGAATAAGAGAGGAGGGGCGGCGGGGAGAACAAGCGCCTTTATCGGGGAGGATTTTCTTCTTTGTCTTGCTGATGGTAGGTAACACTGCATGCTAGCGGATCGATTCATTCGGTCTACGGAATAAATGAAAATAGATTTGACTGTCGTTCCTTGAATGAATATACTAAGCCAAATCAAACCAACTAGTAAACTTGTACAAGAGAGCTGTGATAGTGCCTGTACTACGAGTAATTGGCCCATCTATTTATTGTACTCCGTATGGATGGGCACCTGTATTGAAGTTTGTTCATGGTTACCCCAAGTACTCTGCACTCTGATACTGCACTCTGACTCTGTAATCTGTCTCTGTACTCTGTACCCTGACATCTGTACGGAGTACTCTGTGCTGTACTCTGCCCCAGTGGATCCACTTCCCCAGACCCCGGATTTCTTCCCTCTCAGAGTCTCCACACTCTCCACATTCTTACTTCCTCCCCACTTTTTTTCTCCGCTTTCCCTACAAACTAGACCTAAGTACGGTACCACGGAGTATTTACTCCGTCCTACTGGAGTGACATCCGCGGCACATCAACGGCTATCCGCCTACACTACTCCGTACATACAGCGGGACAATTCCGCCTTTTCTGTCCTATCCTGTTCAAGCAGTTGGGGTAATGAGACTAATATAATATCCAGTCCAGTCCGGCAGTGGGATGCGGCAATCTCGACATCCATACAGTACATGTCGTATGCACCTACCTAGGTAGGAGGTAGGTAGGTAGTAGGTAGGTAGGTGCAATATTAGAGTTAGAAGAGCTATGCTGGAATGAATGGGTAATAATTCACTACATATTAAACCACCTATCTAACTACATACCTAACTGGGTAGGCATCTAGGAGTAGCTACCTACCTGCCTACTTAGAGAAACAACTCTTACCAGCAGATCGTAGACCTCGTTTCCGTTGGAGGGTCGTTACCTCTGTTTCCTCGGACTATGGATTGACATGCTTGACGTGAATTAACTAATTTCAGGGACTCATATTAATATATTCGTGTGAATCTATGTCATGTGGATATAGGAAATAGTCTAATATTCGTCCCTGATTCGTTTGAACAGAAGGTCAATTAACTAGACTTGCTGCTCTTTTCCATCCTACAGGCAACCAACCAGTTTCAAGAATCAAGATTGAATTCACTTTTCAAGTCTAATTTTTTTGTTTTTCCTTTTCGACTTTGCTTGGACGAATGCGAGGATTTTTTTTACGTACGTTCGACAGAATGGCCAGTTTTTTCATTTGTTGTAACTTTTCCTTTTTTTTTTCCCAGTCTCGTCTTTTAATGAATATGGACCAATTTCTAGAAACATTATCTAGCCTAGCATTTAGTATACTTCGTCTATTCTAGGTCCTACCCTGGGATACCGTTCATTGGAAGATATTCTCTGCACCTTGGCAGGAGAAGATGCTTGTTTCTCTATGACGAACTACTTCATGGCTTATTTAATGGCTACTTATACTCCGTATATTCTAGTGTTGAAGTTCGCAGGAGAGACTTCTTACAAGAACACTGAGAAGAACATTGAGATACGTCTGATGTTTAGGACATAGGTATCTGTCTTCCACCACTTCTGGAGATCTTGCTGCTGATGTTTATGTAGACTGCAATTGAACAAGCGGTATTAGGGCTGCCGCTCCTGCATTTGTGTCGTACTGACAACTCGCAGATGTGTTTCCAAGCGTATATTGTCAGTTGCTCACTTCTTTGGAACCCACAGACTCTGCGAGTTACAGTACGCCCTGAGCCCATTTAACCCCCATTCAGTCCCAATCCCACTCCATTTGTGTCCCCCAAACGGCACTCCTGGAGCCACATCGAAGTGAGAGTTGACCCAGACACTCCCCGACTCCAGCCTTCGGGCCATCCGCGTCGCACGGTCAATGTCCTTGCTCCAGACCGACGAGCCCAGCCCCATCATGGTGTCGTTTGCGCGTGCAATGACATCGTCCTCATCCGACCACTTCAGCAGCGGGACAATCGGGCCAAAGGGCTCCTCAGTCACCACGCGCGACTTCTCTGGCGGATTGTCGATGATGGTAGGCGTGATGAAGTATCCCTTAGACTCCTCGATCTTCCCGCCCAGCACCGGGTTCAGTCCCTCGGTGGTGATCGTCGTGAACAGGTCTTTCACTTTCTCGTACTGCATTTCGTTCTGGACGGGGCCGAAGAACACGTCTGGCTCGGTGCCTTCGCCGGTCTTTAGGGTTTGCGTGTATTTGACCAAGGCGTCCCGGAATTGGTCGTAGATTTTCTCGTGGACGTAGAGACGCTTGATCATCATGCAGATCTGCGCCGAGCAGTAGAAGCAGAGAGTCGCCACCTTCGGTATAATCTCGTCAATGTCGACGTCGTCGCAGATGATGGCCGGGTCATTCCCCCCCAGTTCCAGCGTCACTCGCTTCAGAGTGGGCGCGCAGCTGGCCATGACTTTCTTTCCGGTGGCTGACGACCCCGTGAAGCTGACATAGCCGATGCCAGGATGGGCAGTCATCATCGGCCCCAGATCTTCATCCCCGCTGAGCACCTGCAGGACGCCCGGGGGAAAGAACCGCGTGCCCAGCTCTCCCAGTTTGAGGTTGCAGTAGGGAGTGTACGGCGAGGGCTTGATTATGATGACGTTGCCGGTGGACAGCGCGGGGGCGATCTTCCCACAGCACAGCAGAATGGGATAGTTCCAGGGGATAATGCCGCAGGCGACCCCGATCGGAGTGTACCGCTGGATCACCTGGACATCGTCCTTGTCCTGGATGACCTCCTCGGGGATGGCCATGGTCGGGATCGTGCGCAGCCACTCGACCGCCATGCTGATTTCGTGGTACGACTGCGCGAGCGGCTTGCCTTGCTCCATCGACAGGAGTCGCGCAAAGTCGTCCTTGTTCTCGTCCAGCGCGTTGCCAAAGGCGATGATGGCCGCGCGACGCTCTTCCAGAGGCACCTGGGACCACTGCCGGAACGCCTTCTGGGCGGCGTTGACGGCGCGGTCCAGGTCCTGCTGGGTGGAAACTGGCACCTCGGGGTTGGGCTGGCGGTTGGCAGGGTTGATGCCGTGGCGAGTGCGCGCGGTGGTGGTCAATTCATTGTTGATGACATTGCGGAAGGTCTGCATCTGTTAGCTGTCGATTGAAGAAGACATGTACTTGGTCGACGTACCGTAAAGTCCAGGCGGGCAGAATGCCCGTTTTGTCCGTTCACGTGCATGGCGAAAGAAGAAAGGAATTGACTGCTGTATGTCTGGATGTGATGAAAGAGAAGGTAGTTGAAGAAGGATGAATTGCTGTCACTGTCGATGCTGGGAGGAGGCTGTATCAGCTCATCCCTGCCACCACTAAAATCGACGGTGACAGCCTGCTTGTGACACGAACACGAGAAAGTATTGGGGAATCTCCACATCGAGCAGGGGTCATATCCAGTCTGCCTAGAGACCGCATATTGTTGTGTTTAATGTACGGAATACTCCGTACATGTACTGTACGTACCTACATGTCCCTTCCTGTCTGAGATGAAGTATATCGACCAAATATCGACTAACAGCGACACTAAATCGATCCGCCACTCCGGGCAAACGGCTTCTCTTCGCTGGGCGTGATGAATGCTATCTTTATTTCCTGTTCCCAGGGCTTGCGGCGCAGCACTCCTTCTCCACATCCAATCCCCGATTCCAATTCCTCCATACTCCGTACAATCCATGCTTAATAGTCGGCGGCGCAGCACGGAGTGGCTGGCGGATGCATTACCCCTTGACCTGGCCTGACGACTAAGTCCAGATTAAGTTGAGACGGACAGCGCCTTCGTCAGCGTTGATGGGGATCTTTGGCATGTTGGACGGTGACTGACTCAGTTGCGACAGCGGTCATTGTATGTACAGACTCGTATCTTTCTTTCTTGTCATTATTAGGGAACCAGGGTATCTAGCAGCTGGCACAGCTAGCTCCAAGCTGACAGCTGTCAGACCGTGCTCTAACATGTACCCTTGAGTTAGAACTTCCTCAGCTCGGTTAGGAACTGGAGAGATCCATGTCACTAATGTTATAGACCAGTATCGTCTTAATATTGTATTCGAGACCTGGCTTGCTTCTGGAGACAGCAATGCCCCTGCCCAGCGACCCATATCCATGTATGTACAGAGTATATACTGTACAGAAATTTGACATTTGTCTATGGTTTGAACTGTTCGTCTGTTCTTCTCATCAATCGTTTTTCGCCAATCCCTCCTCGTCTGACGGCTGGCACTCATGGAGGAAAACTTTGTCGCCGAGGCCTGGAGCCTGCTGGCAATTGCCCTGGTGATGATCGGCCTGCGCATATACGCCCGACTTCTGGTCAACGGATACCGCCATCTCAAGCTAGATGATGCTCTCATGGTCCTGGCTGGGGTAAGTAATCTCACGCTTTCTCATTTCATGGCCAGTCGTGACGAACTGACGGGACCAGCTCCTTTATACCGCTGAGACGCTACATTGTCGGCGCCTACTGGCAGGGACTGGCCAACAACAACATGACCGACGAGCAGCGCGCGTCGCTCGATCCGCACTCAGAGGAATGGCATCTGCGCGTGAACGGCTCCAAGACGCAACTGCTGGGATGGCTTGTGTATACAGTGCTGCTGTGGACGCTGAAGTCGTGCTGGATCATCTACTACTCGAGGCTGACGTATGACGACCAAATGGAATGGCTGGTAACTCGCATTCTTGTTGACTGCTTCCAGCGAGGGCATCAAGAACATGCCGACTCGAATTCGGATCGGATACGTCGTGCTGCTGTTCACCTTTCTCGCGACCTTCTTCGCCATCCTGTTCGGCTGTTTCCCCGTGCAGAAACACTGGCAAATCAATCCGGACCCAGGGCGTATGCCAGCGCTGTCAGCCATTTCTGAGAAGATGAAGAAGTGTGCTTGCTAACTGAATGTTTCCAGCGCACTGCTACCCAGCCAACTCCATTATCCATCTCGCTGTCTTGCTCTCGCTGAACATCTCCACCGACTTGTACCTCATGTCCATTCCGCTGCCGGTGAGTGCGAACCTGATGCTTAAGAACCATAGTCCACTGACCAGGCCAGATGATCTGGAAATCACGGCTTCCGACCCGCAAGAAAACAGTCTTGCTGGCAACGTTTGGCGGAGGCTTTCTGGTCATGGTGTTTTGCACGACCATTCTCACCGTGAGTACATCCACAACACACACCAATTGATTGTATTGTGTCTGATGCATGGCGTAAACAGTCCGGCGCACAAGGCCCCGAACAAGCCGGCCGCTGGTCCTGTCGCGAATCCTTCGCTGCCGTCATCGTCGGCAACATGCCCATGGTCTACCCGCTGCTGCAACGCTGGTTCCACCGACTGCGGAAGGGCTGCTCTCGTACGGGGGGAGAGTCATCGGGGAGCAATCTGCAGCTGAGCTCGCGCGTAGCCAGCTCAAAATCCAAAACGAAGAGCAGCGACAGGAAACGCTTCCAGCACCCGCTCAGCATTCCCAACGACACGGCGTGGGGGAGCGACGGAAATGTCTATAACAGAATCTACAGTCTAGTGAGTAGTTTGGCAAATTCCCTCCTTGATAGGTATGAGATCTTAATTTATAGTTTCTTTCACTTAAAATAGGTCATAGCTTGAAGTCTATCTCGTTAAGTATTGAGACCTATAATGGTACGGAATTATTTATTTCCTAGCTTAGACTTAGGGCACATTTTCCTCCCGAAAAGGTTGTCTTAGTCTTCCTCATTTGCGTATATCAAGGCGTCGTTCCTAGTGGCTACTCGTTCTTCGTTACTCTTTTAACTGCGGTACGATACGATACAGCTCTGATTGATAATGATGAACTTATATCTGATATAGCTGAGATCCACTCTATAAGTATTTAGACACAGCATCTAGTATATAAAGTCTTTCCCAGCCGGGTTTATGCTAACTCATTCAAGCTGCAACGACTTCCTCGCCGTCTCGTACGCAAGATCAATATCCTCCGTCCACACCCAGTTCATTCGATCCTTCAAGCTGTCCCTCACCAAGGGCAGACACTCGTCGTACGACTTGCCCGCCATCTCCCGCGTTTGCATCTCGTAGACCTGACCCGCCTGCCGGGCTGTCGCTTGGGCCCTCTGCGCGCGAGGGAGACGCACGGCTTGGTACAGCTGCATCCAGCTCTCCAGAGACGACCGCTCCGGCGAGCTCAGGTAGTCGTGCAGCGCTCGTCCGAGGATGTATCCGTCTTCGATGGCCTGGCCTGCTCCGGCGCCTGGACAGAATCCCATCAGCTGGCGGAGGGTCCATGGATCAACAATGGCGAGTTCTTCCTACCTTGATGAGGGAGCATCTGCACGGCTAACTCGTTAATATACTCGATACAACCGTAACAGTAACTCAAAGGATAGGTATATACTCACCGCATGAGCAGCATCGCCCATCAAAACCACCTTGCCTCCAGCAAACACCCACCGGTCCAACGGCTCGCGATCATTCAACACCCACTTAGACGGATTCTCCGGCATGAGCGAAATAATCCGTCTGACCGTCCCGTCGAACGATTCAAAATCCCTCGCAAGGTCCTCGCGGTGCCCTGTGGCCGTCCAGCTCTCCTTCAGCCCGCCCAGGGCGCTTTCGTCCGTCGTGACAAAAGCCACGATGTTCAGGAGCGTGTTCCTGCTGATGGGAAACACGAGGAAATGCTTGTCCGGCCCCAGCCAGCTGGTGGAATAGCTGGGGAAGGGCCACCAGGACTGCAACTCGGAAATGGATACCAGTCCCCGATACGCAATCCGGCCGCTGTAGCGAGGGTGGTCGGCGCTGAACTGGCTGCGCAGGGTCGAATGGATGCCGTCGCAGCCCACGACGAGGTCGGCTGATGCTTCAGTGCCGTCGCGGAATTTCAGCGTCACATCGGTTCCGTTGTCCTAGTTGGAGTGAATATATGTAGGCATTTATGCACTATGTCTGTCTGTCTGTACTTACTACGACTTCATAGCACTGCTTACTCGTATGCAGCGTCGCAGCTCTCCTCCGCTCAATCTCGTCGACCAGCAACGAGAGAAACTCCGCGCGATGCACCGGACACTGCCTGACCCTCCCTCGATCGTTGACGGGCACCGTGATGATCTCCGCGCCGGTATCATACCGCCGAAACGAGATCCAGACGCCGTTGCGATGTCCGGCTATCTCGTTGACCGCGTCGCCGATGCCGATCCGATGGAGGAGTTTGGTTGCGTTGATGCCGATGCCGACGCCAGCCCCGATCTCCTTGTACTGCGACGCCTGCTCGTAGACGTCGATGTGGATGCTGCCGTTAGGGCAGAGGTGGTGCAGCGAGAGGGCTGCGCAGAGCCCGCCAATGCCTCCGCCGATGATGGCGATACGGAATGCTGCCATAGTAAGTATACAGTGTCAGTCTTTGCAACCGTTCAATTGCGATTCTTAAGCACACCTTTGCTCTCTTCTTTCCATTTTTCTTATTTCCCTATTAACTATAGCTGTCATACAATATATACATCCATCTATGTGTATCTGTGGAGCAGACTATAGAATTCCCGGGGAGATAACAGCCCTATCGCCCCGGCATTTCCGGCCCTCCCCGGGCTGCAGAAATACATCGAGCAGATTATATCCATCGACCAGACTCCGGGACAGGCCAGAGAGAGCGGGGATAATAGCTAAGCCTCGGGAGAACATTTAGGGATCGCCGTTTTGTGACGTTGGGGCTTGGAGGACGGTATTTAAGACCCCGCTCAACTCCCCGCAGCGGGTCTGTATATTCGTAATCATACTGTCTACAAGTAAACCTGATATAGTGATATCTGCAGATAACGTCATCATGAAAGGCAAAATCGCTCTCGAGGAATGCTGGGCCATTCCGGAGAACTTTGACGTCTTCAATCCCGCCGCGTTTGCCGGCAAGGGCGTCATCGGCGATGACCTCCAGGCCAACCTCCTCGACGTCCACGGCCAGCGCCTGCAGCAGATGGACGAGAATGGCGTCGACTTCATGATCCTCTCGCTGAACGCCCCCGGCGTGCAGAACGTCACCGACCCCGCTGCCGCCGAGAAGCTGGCTGCGCTGGCCAACGACCGGCTGGAGGCAGAGGTGCTCAAGAACCCGAAACGCTTCGCCGCCTTTGCGGCGTTGAGCATGCACGACCCCGTGCAGGCCGGCCGGGAGCTGGAGCGGTGCATGACGCAGAAAAAGGGCTTCGTAGGGGCCATGATCAACGATTTCCAGAGCAGCGGGCCCGACGGCAACACGATGCTCTTCTACGACGACCCCAAGTACGACGCCTTCTGGAAGGTGGCTAACGACCTCAAGGCGCCTGTTTATCTCCATCCGCGGACGTCCAGCCCGCTGATCAGGGAGCTGATGTGGAAGGGGAGGCCGTGGCTCGACTATTCGGCCCTGGGATACGCCAATCGGTTGAACATGCATGTGCTGGGGATCATCACGGGGGGCGTGCTGGATCGGTTTCCGGATCTGAAGATCATTATCGGGCATATGGGCGAGCACATGTAAGTCCCTCTCTAAGTAGAAACAGGTATATCAATAACTGAGGCACTCTCCAGCCCGTACGACCTCTACCGGATCGACCACAAGCTCGACCGGGCCCGTTTCCCCAACATGCCCATGCGCAAGGACCGTCTGGTCCGGGACTACTTCGGCTCGCAGGTCTTCATCACCACGTCGGGCCACTTCAGCACGCCGGCGCTGCAGTGCGCCATGACCGAGATCGGCGCACGCTCGATCCTGTTCTCCATCGACTACCCGTTCGAGTCGATCCCCAACGGTTGCGTCTGGTGGGATGAGCATGTCAGCGCCGTCGTGAACCAGCGCGACTATGTCGATATGGGCCGCAACAATGCCCTCAGGTTGTTCCCCCGTCTGACGGATCCGGAGGGCATCCATGGCCTGAAGGAGATGACGCCGACGGAGTGTGAGGTCGGGGGTTTGAAGACGGCGGAGGGTGAGGTCACGTATGGCCTGTATAATAAGGATTGGAGCAGGAGGGGGAGGAAGCAGTACGTGTAGGTCGATGCTGATGATGTGTATGCCTGATATTCTGTGAATATGACCGTACGTATTGAACGATTTTTCAATCGACTCCATAGTCCTGTTAATAGGATAATTAAAATCAATACTGTAGCGTACTATATTAGTTCTCACTTCAGCGAGAATAATCATAAATGTGCCACGGAAAGTGCCCCAAAAAAGGGTATTAACCCTAGTGTCGTCAGCCCTAACTCTAGGAGAACGAATAAGATGCCATCTGCAAAACGATTAAGAATCACCATTATAGAAATCTTGATAAAAGAAACAAGAAGAAATGTAACTCTAGTTGCTGATATAAACTCAATTTAGTATTGATAATAACTGACAGACTGGTTCTCATACCTATCATTTAGAGATCGTTGTAGAATACTCCTGTGCGCTATTTCCTCTTCTGTATAAATCGTAGGCCATGCAGATTCTAGTATCATTGATTAGTCATGTTTATTCAGAGATATTCTACCTCTTATCTTCATATGCACATACGTAGACAGATACAATCCCTCCAGGTTATAAGCTGACGACCACCTTCCTCGCAGACACACCCTTCTTGTTCAGGTCCATTCCCTCCTGCACATGTTCCAGTTCCTTGCCAACGACCAGCGGCTCCGGAGCAGCGGCATACTTGCCCTCTGCCAGCGCCTGCGGCAGGAAATCCCGGGAGATGGACAGACCGAACTCGACGTCGGTGATGGCGACGACAGCATAGATCCCTTTGGCAGAGATGCCGCTGGGCAAGTCCTTCGGCACGGAGAGCACCGTTGCGATGAAGTGCTCGCCCCCTAGCCGCGTCAGTACGTCCAAGGTGGGGTGGAACACGCCGACGGCATCGTAAGCACCAGCCAGCTTTTTGCCCTTCAGGGCCGTCACCAGGTCGTCGACTACGGTCGGACTGTTGTAGTCAAACGCTTCGCTGGCTCCGAGTTTCTTGACATAGTCGAAGTTCCTTGGTGAGGCGGTGGTGATGACCTCGTAGCCGGCATGGACCGCCAGCTGGATGGCGTTGCTGCCAACACTGGACGCGCCGCCCCAGACGAGGAGTGTCTGGCCCGTGGGCTTGTGGCTGGGGATAGATGGACGCTGCAGATTCAGAAAATCTTTGTGAAACAGGCCCACGGCGGCGGTCGACAGCCCCAAGGGCAAGACAGAAGCGGCCTCGTAGGACAGGCTGCTGGGGATGGGCGAGACGACGTGTTCCGGCACGACAGTGTAGAGCTGGAACGCGCTGGCGCTGTTTGTTTGGATGCCAGGTTGGTGGCGTGCGCAAGCACGCGATCGCCCACGGAGAAGCGCGTTACAGCGCTCCCGACCTCGACGACTTCGCCGGCGACGTCCTGGCCCAGGATGTTGGGATAGTTCTGGGGGAAAATGGCCAGATACTGCAGCTTCCAATCGACCGGATTGATGGCAACTGCGCCGTTCTTGATCACCACCTCATTCTCGCGCGGAGGCGTGTACGGGGCTGGACCGATCTCGAGGGGGGTCTTTTTTTCGGCAGTGAGCCAGGCGGCGGAGTTGGTTGGCATGATGCTTTTCCTTTTTCCTTTCTTAGTGTTCCTTTTTAAGGACCGCTTTTCTTTCGTTTATTCTCGTCGTCCAGCTGATAGGATGGATTGAGGAGCATCACTCAGGGAGCATTTCAGGTATAAATAGATGGATTTGAAATTGCGTCAAGAATCGCGCCATCGTCCTGAGTAATGGCTCTTTAAGTCCTACATCCAAGGCGGCTCGCCGAAGGTGTTCCTGATGTAAGGAGACCCCACCCAATAACAATGGTCCAATCTGTCAGCAGTTCGGATGTCGTTCGATGAATTCTGTCCCCTGCCCAGGGGATTTCACCACCGATGATTTTGGTCTGAAAAGATAACACAGCTAGTAAACCAACGGCATCGTTAAGTCCGAAAGAAAATCACTCCGTATTATCTCCGCCGCTAATAAGATGGATCTTGGTTGAGGTAAATTGAAGACAGCCATAATTCACCTGGCAGCTCATTATTATTAATGATCCAGAACTGGACGGGATTAGAAATCATCCACCTACTGCCATTACTGTGTCTCTCGACGAAACTGGCCTACTGGCGTCAGAAGGCATTGAATAAGATTGTGGGGAAAGATAGAAGCCTTGCAGGACCAAATCAACAATCTTATCTGGCATTCAATGGAGAATGCCTGAGCTGATGAACCAAGCAGCGAGAGAAATGGTTCTTCGTGACGTTGCTGGAAGACGGACAGAGATGCAGTCACGAGTCTGGTCAGGTGACAGACTCAACAGACGTCGCTCGAAGAGCTCTGTTTACTTGTCTACGATCGAGTTTTCTCCATTCGCTGATCAACTAATCTATTCCAACCCTTAACAATGTCTAGGGCCAAGGATGTGACCTCCGCTTAATCCTACAGGATAAGAAATTCTGCTGACTCCTACAGATTACGATATTCTGCTGCTCAGACTGGTTACCTTCCAGTGAGCCTTCTCTCGTCATTCTCTACCACGCAGATTCAACCTGTGGCGAAGATGCTTGACCGCTAGCCTAATGGCGACTGCTCATCAATGATGCTGATGCTGATACTGCCCAGATGAGACCTAGAAACGAAACGAATGGGCATCTGCAGTGACCATGTCCTCCGTCGCCCATGTTGATATCCTGCCGGCTGGGACATTCCTAACCACTACTATCAGTCTTTCTTGCCCACGATCTACTGGTCCGCAACTCGCCGGCTTTCCTCCCACACATCTGTCCCACGGCCCCGGTCCCGGCGATGGGCGCTCTGTGGATGCTTTTGCGCCTGCTGTGGAGCTGTGTCCTCGCGGAACTACCTCCCGCGACAGCATTCACTAGAAGCTTTCTGGAGACGGTGGATCTGACGTCAAAACGCATCGGCATGGGGAAAATGCAATGACGACCATTTGGAGTCCCCGCAATGCTCTCCGTTCGTCTTGCCCCTGGTCGCGACTATTAATTGTTATCTGCCATTGTCGGCCCTCCACCCTCGACCCTCGTCTTTGCCTCTGCTTCGTGGAGCATGGATGTCTTACTAGACGGAGTCTTCTACTTGTTACTTCATTGTTCATATACTTGATCTTGGCACTCATCTCTCATCATGTGTCGCAGCGCATCCGACGGCTCTGCTAATCGTGCAAAACCTGATGACAATACGAATCCTAGCAATACGAATCCTGACGGCGCTGCCAACCCTAGCAGTTCTAACAACCCCGATGGTCCTGCTCCCGACGGCCCTGCTAACCAACCTGGGACTGCGTCAGATGCCGAAAAAACAGGAGAGCGCGGATCGTCGACGGTCCGCCGACGGCGCAGCAACAGCAACATCGAGCCACGATGAGAAGAGACGTTCTGACGGCAAGATCATCATCACCGAGTCGGACGTCTACGACAAGTTGGGGTTCTCGTACCCCTTTTGGAAAAAATGGCTCATCATCTCCGTCATCTTTTTCGTCCAAGTGTCGATGAATTGGAACGCCAGTTTCTACGCCAACGTCGTGCCCTTGCTGGAAAAGCGCTTTCCGATCGATCAACAGGCTGCTCGCGTCGGGCAGATGATCTTCCTGGTTGCCTATGCCTTTGGAAGCGAGCTGTGGGCGCCGTGGAGCGAGGAGATCGGACGCTGGCCCACCCTGCAGCTCAGCCTGTTGCTGGTCAACATCTGGCAGATCCCCTGCGCCGTCGCTCCCAACTTCGCGACCATTGTCGTCTGTCGGTTTCTAGGCGGCATCTCGTCGGCGGGTGGATCGGTGACGCTCGGTATGGTGGCTGACATGTGGGAGCCAGACGATCAGCAGTTTGCAGTGGCCTTTATTGTGCTCTCCTCGGTGGCTGGATCGGCCTTTGCCCCGATTGCCGGCGGTCCGGTGGGTGAATATCTGAGCTGGCACTGGAACTTTTGGATCCAGCTCATCATCGGCGGATCGGCCCAAGCGTGCCACTTCTTCGTCCCGGAGACGAGATGTAGTATCCTGGTCACCAGGGAAGCCAAGAGGCGACGCAAGCAAGGCGAAAACGTATGGAGTCCAGGAGAACTGGATGACCGACATTTCTCGATGCGACCAATCCTGGTGATCTGGGCGCGTCCGTTCATCATGTTCGTGCGAGAGCCCATCGTTCTCTGG